ACAGCCCACTCTGCTTCCTCCACATGCTCAAAGTACTGCACAGGACACAAACATCTGAGCATATCTAAAGTGCAATGGGGCCGCTGCATAGCACTGAGTTAAAAAGAATAGACTACAACCTTGTATCAATGTAGGTCTTAAAGTATAAAAAAAATAATAGAATATAGCACAAAGGTACCAATAAAGTCTATTTATTTACATTATTTATATTTACACTTTTGTCCAAAATCGCATACAAGTGAGAATGAGAGCGCAGGGTCAGCCAGTGTGTAGCTGGGGTTAAGGGCCTCGCTCAAGGGCCCAACGGTGACATCACTGCCAACCACAGGATGTGAACCAGTGACCTCCTGAGTCCTAACCCAAAGAGTCACACACCACCCCTAATAATCAGAATAATCCATCCATCCGAATGATTATAATAAGTCTCTTAATGTATTACAAAAGATTTTTTTGTATTATTCAATAATTTACCAGTAGAAATGTATAAAGAAGTACGACATGCATACCATATGATGATTAATATAGGGTAGATATTGATGCATTCTTTAACTGTCCTGTAAAACATTGCAGGGAAACTGCAATATCCTACAAAATTTGGGAGATTATTGTACCTCTGCAATCAAAAAGTCCACATTCTTCCTAATGAAGACATCCATCTGCTTTTTAAAGGTGTCCTTAACTTCTGCCTCACTCTTGCAGCTCAGGTAGGAGGGTGTCTGAGAGACTCCGCCTGCCACCAGGGCATCACCCTCATTGGCCACCTCTCTGGCAAGGTCACAGGCCGCCTCATTGATCTGCTGACCCTGGAGTTAATAGATGGTAAATATGATTCAGACCAGTCACTCACATAGATATTGGTTGTTTCTGTTTTATGAGTTACTCTTCAGGGAAACTCTGAGTACAAATATTTAGATAATTTAGTTTGGGAAAGTGAAGAGTAAAGTTTCTTCCAATAAAATTTTCTTCCAATATTTTAAGTCCAAAAGAGCTCTAAAAGCTGCAGGAGAGTAGGGGTCTTATAATTAAAAATGAAATCATTATAGTTAATGAGTTTAACGATTGTGTTGCACATGTATTCACTGTAGTCAACGCCTATGTTGACCAATATATGTATAACTGAAGTTGATGTGCTACAAAGCCTAACTAAGCTCAAAATTAATAAATCACAGGGCCCTAATGGCATCTTATCTATAGTCTTAAAAGAGATGAGGGATATTTATTTGCCGACCTGTAACTTTACTATTTCAGAAATCCTTATCTGCTGGTGTGGTACCTTCTGATTGGAAGCATGCTAATATAACGCCCATATTCAAAAAAGGGGATAGAAGTAATTCATCAAACTATTGGCCAATTAGTTTAACTTCCATAACTGGAAAAGTAATGGAAGCTATAATCCAAGCAAAAATGGTAGATTACCTGGATTCAAATAACATTCTGACAGATAGCCAACATGGATTTAGGAGAGGTAGATCCTGTTTAACTTATCTACTTGAGTTCTTTGAGGAAGCTACAAGAGAAGTTGATCGCAAAAAGGCCTACGATGTGATGTACTTCCAGACGGGCTTTGATGTTGTTCCCCACAAACAGCTCCTGCTTAAGCACAAAGCAGCAGGGATTGTAGGAACTATAGCAGCTTGGATTGGAAAATTGGTTAATAGATAGGAAGCAGCGAGTAGTTATTAGAGGCACAATGTCACAGTGGGTCTATGTTCATAGTGGGGTACCACAGGGTTCAATTTTAGGACCACTGTTATTCTTAATTTACATTAACGATGTTGACACCAATGTATACAGTAAACTGGTTAAATTTGCAGATGACACCAAGGTGGGTGGTGTAGCAGATACTGAACTAGTAGCACAGAGCCGTAGGGCTACAAGAATGATTCCTGGTCTTAGAGGAATGTCTTATGAGGAGAGGTTACCTGAGCTGAATCTGTTCAGCCTCATGCAAAGGAGACAAAGGGGGGTCATGATCCTGGTATATAAGATTCTAACGGGTCTGGATGCTGTTCAGCCAAATGGCTACGTCAATATTAGTTTAAATACTAGAACTCGTGGCCATAAGTGGAAATTAGCGGGAGAACATTTTAAAACAAATTTGAGGAAGCACTTCTTTACACAGTGTGTAGTTAGAGTATGGAATAGTCTTCCTGTTAGTGCAGTGCAAGCGAAAACCTTGGGTTCCTTTACATCAGGGCTAGATAAGATTTTAACAACTTTAAGGTATTAGTTGAATTAGTTGAGCTTGATGGGCCGAATGGCCTCCTCCCATTTGTAAATTTATGTTCTTATGTTTTTAAGACACTCACAGAAAGACGTAGGTCATTGCCTCTGTTCTCCAGTTTATCATCACTGGCATAGAAGGTAAAGGTCTGCATGACATTGGATCCTGACCTGAGGAATTCCCTATGCAGCTGCCGCACTGAAATATAGCAGAGAAATGGAATCTTCACTAAAAATCAGTTTGCATCACACAGATTCGCATTATCTGCCCGCATGACTTGTCAGAGCGGAGAAATGCCCCTTACCAGCTTCTGGGTGAGTGACGCTGGCCTCTGGTGTCCACGGCCCTGCTTTGACGTAGCCGCGCTTCTCCAATGCAAACACAAAGCCGCCATCACCAATGACAACTTCGCCTGCGTTCAGGCGCTCAAGAATTCCCTGGAAAGAATCTATATTGTCAAGTGAAGCTTTCCGCATTTATATATGTTTTTTATCTATCCAAATGGTAGTAACTTGGCCGAGGTACATAAATTTGTGTCTATTATTGATTCTTATTCACTCTGTATTTTTTAATTTAACTGGGGTTGTGTCATGCTTGAAGTGTTCTGAACCAGTTACAACTCAAGCATGCAGAGATAAACTATATTTTGTAAATCAAAACCATAAAATGCACAATATGCTGGCATCTTCATCCAAAGTTCTCCCAGTTTCCTTCACTGGGAACCTTTCTTTCTTATATTTTTATTTTCATATATAATTTTTTTTACTAATAATTTGGAATTACAAAATAACACGTGCAGCTGATTATTCTGTGTTAACTGAGATGACTGTATTCAACACCAACTTTCCAAGATAGTATAATTGCCTAAAAACACAATAAAAATGATTGGTGTCTAATTTTTGACTGTATAAATACTCTAAATTGTGAAAACAAAGGCACATAAGAACAACTTACTTTTTTGACTGGTGGCATATCTTCCTGTTTAAGAGGCAGTACGAAGCACTTTGCAACAGCTGGCTCCAAACCTGAATCTGGACAGAACTGAACCAAATGCCAATTTATATTATTGAAACTGGAACTGGGTGGAACTGATGTCATCTCCATAAGCCCAGCTGATTGGCAATATATTGTTTGTTAAAGCCAGTTTTGCAACTGACAACCTTTACTCACCTTCCACTGTGTGAGCGTGTGTATGTGTGTGTGTGTGTGTGTGTGTCGGTGGGACAAGAATAAGGTCAAATATGTCCTTTTGTCATATAATCATTTCAGGGTGAACATACACTTGAATAAACACGAACAGGAAGGACCATAACGCCACATATCTTACAGACAGCGTACCAACACAACATCCAGAGCAAGCTCCAAATATTAATCTAAGTTTAACTCAAATTTATTAAATTAATATTTAATGTAAGACAATAATTATGTGTTGCCTATGTAGTAAATTTGGAGTTAATCTTTTTAAAGCACAAAGATCACATTAGAGCACAGCACGGACTCCGGAGGGGGGCATATAAATGGGCCACCCCTGTACCCGACGTCAAAACAATAAAAACGTACGGATTTTTTATTTTCTTAGTGGAACCATAGAAGACACAGCCCTTTAAATATAACCGACCCTAATCACAATTTTCTGCAGGCGCCACAGAAAGACACTCCCTATGTCTAGCTGTTCCTTGACTCCCCTGTACCAAAGCGAATATCAATCAAATCACAACCTCGATCAGACTGACTTGTTTAGTTATTTGTGTTCGTTTCTTTACCCATTTCTTTCATTGTGCACTACTATTTTCATAAGGTTAATTAAACAAAACTGCTGACTGAACGCCGATTACCAGTCTGGATGATTAATAGTTAATCCAGACGGTTTCGCAGAGACTGATAGGACATAGATCCGCTCCGGTCGGTTTGCTCAGTTCTAATTTGTCACGTAAGAACTCTGCGTGAGACATGCTTTGAATCGTGCAGAATACTCATGTCATAGATATAACCATGAAAAACGTTTTGAATACTGTAAACTTGCGAGTGCGGAAACATGTTTATGCGTGTCTGTGGCGTCCTCTTCGGCGCGCGATAAGTTCTGCTCCGCAGACATGTGCAGCGGAGAGGTGAGTCCTCCTGCACTACATTTTAAAAATGCATTTATCACCACACATATATGTGGCAGTGAACTTAAGCGAGGATTTTGCGTTGTGCACGCCATGCATAACGTAGTTGTTTTGAGTGGATTGCCGCGCTGCTCCGTACTGAACAGTCCCATGGGATGGCTGAAAAGCACAAAGTTATTCTATGCTGTCACATGCAGGACAACAATTATCAGTGCTGGTTCCGATTTTCAAAAGTTGTTACAGGAAGCGTATGGCATTTTGTCTGTCATGTTCCAGCCATATGAAAATTATTACTAAAACAAACTTTGTACTAGAATTGTTTTAATGTACATTTATCTTGTTAGGATTACAATTTTACAACAAATAAAGTGCATTATATATCATTTTAATATTTATAATAATAATGTCATGAATAATGAATTGAAAATGAATTGAAAATACATTCTTCACAAAGATATTTTATTTTGCTACTAGCCATTATATTTTCATATGTAGCCAAATGTTACTATTTAATTTAGTGTAAAATCACTATAAATTAACAGTGAGAGTGCTTAAACTATTCTCTATCACGCATTTTGATTCTTGGTACCCAACCCCAGAGACAGTGGGAACAGCATCCTGAGGAACAGGTGGAAGGACACAGCAGACACTGTGATCATCGGAGGGGGATGTATTGGGGTCAGCCTGGCCTACCACCTGGCCAAGGCGGGCGTTAAGGATGTGGTGCTGCTCGAGAAGTCCGAGCTGACTGCCGGCTCCACCTGGCATGCTGTAGGTCACTCCAGTGTGCATCAGAATCAGCGGAGACTTCGTTTGCGCAGTGCAATACCATGTACATTCTGCTCGGTGCATTTTTTTCTTGAAAACCGTACAATTGACAGTGAAGTCAGCATGCAATATCTAACAAATAAATAGATGAGCTCAGCAATTAAGCTTAAAATTTATGGTCCAGTTTAGAATTCCGTGACTCTTTATACTCAGCTGGTAGATTGAAACAAAACCTTGGTCTGGATTTTTACTCTCGGGACCTGAACTATCCTCCTCTGGAAAGGAGGAGATCCGAGTATGTGTAACTGTTAAATAAGCGTAGCATAATCAAAATCTGTTTCACCTTTCCTTCAAGGATTGATGCTGTATTAAAGAAGCTCTGTGTTTGCATGAGTTTAGTTTGTTCTCCTCCTGCTTCCCAGGCAGGTTTAACCACATACTATCACCCCGGCATTAACCTGAAGAAGATTCACTACTACAGCATTAAGTTATACGAGAAGTTGGAGGAGGAAACAGGACAGGTAACGTTTACCTCACACTAAATGCAGCTGGGCAAAGACTTGCAATGCATCTCTAATGTTAAAGATGTATGAACAAAACTCATTTTCTATCCCAAAACACAAAGCATCACTGTGTGTAATGTGTATCACATTTTCATCCTGATTTTCTGACACTGGCTATTTCGTTTCCGTTGGGATCTCGTCCCGCTCGCCACTGACCCTCCACAGGCCGTTGGGTTTCACCAGCCGGGCAGCATTCGCATTGCATCGACCCCAGTCCGAGTGGACGAGCTGAAATACCAGATGACACGCACACTCTGGCATCCAACACCGCAGTTCCTCATTGGACCAGAGAAGGTCCAGGAGCTCTTTCCATTGCTTAACGTGAACAAGGTGATGTTACCCGAATGTATGCATGACAGCTTTCCTGTATTCACTTTGTGTAAATCAAGGTAATATTTAACTTGTTGACTTTTATAAGTATACGTACCTCTTACGTGCTCCTACAATAACTGTTACTATGAGAAAAGTCACCTGACATGTGCTTTTGGGGTGGAGATACACACTCCTTTTCAAATATGAACTAAAATCATAAAACTTGCCTAAAACCAACTTATGTAAAACCGAGATCTATTTATGTAAAATTCAGATTTACTCAAATAATATCAGAGATACATGCAGTTTATGGAAGAGTTAATGCAAAAAGGCAAAATTTACACTATGTCTTTTCAGTAATTTAATATGTGATTTTTTAGTATATTTTTGGCTTATGTGTTTTTATTTTCTGTACGGTAACTGGAATGGTATGGGAAGGTAATGTGAGACAAAATTTGACTTGATACGGGTTTGTAAGTGGATTACTTACGTCAGCTGAGACCTGCCTGTAATACTGTTATGTTTTGGCCCTTTAGGTGTTGGCTGGACTTCACAACCCTGGAGATGGGCACATTGACCCGTACTCTCTCACCATGGCATTGGCTGCGGGTGCCCGCATGCACGGTGCCCAGATATACCACCCTGCCCCCGTCACCGGGCTCACTGCCACATCTGATGGAAAATGGGACGTGGAGACACCCTATGGGAGGGTCCGTGCCACCCGCCTCGTCAATACAGCAGGTCTGTGTGTCAGCAAGTTCACCTGATGTGCGGCAAGCCAGGAAAACTCATCGCATGCCCTTTGTAATCAACCGCTGAGGTTAGTTAAACTAGGGTAGCAGGTGCATTGTCAGGGAGGGCTGAATAATCTGGAAAAATCCGGTCGTTCCAGCAAGATTATGCCAAATACTGGATTCAATGCAGTTAGATCAAGGTCTCTGGCAGCTGATAAAAGTCTTTGAAAGCAGTTTGTTCAGATATTTAGAAAAGTTCTTTCTGTATTATTGATACAGGTCAGATTTACATCTTGGTTTTTGTTTTTTTTAACTCAGAAAAATTAGGGTTAGGGTTAGAAAAATTTTGATGTTTCTGAGTTTGTTATTCAGGGACTACATAATAATTTGAGGTTAATGAAAACTACCTGTGTACCAAGGATAGGGGTGTCCTTGGGTTATAACCCAGGTGTCCTCTGTCTCAAATGATAGGCCTGATGCCAAACATTTGACTATCTGACACTTGTGATTCTTCCAATGGCAGTGAATCATAACTTTAGTCAAATGTGTAGAACATATGATTTGTATGATCATATCATTTTGATGTCATGCCTCTAGTGGTTCATATCAGCTCCAGGAGGATGTCCTGCAGAGATCACTTTCAAAATTTCAATGGAAACATTCAATTTGAATTGTAGGTAGAAACACAAATGAACAAAAACATTAAGCACTTGTAGCAGTAACACGAATGGCTGGTCTGAAGCCTTTAATAAATCACCATTTATTGCTTGTGTATTTTGAGCATTCGAGCCAAAGTAGAATTAAAAGGAGCACAAATGGTTAAAAATAGCATGATGGCAGGTGTAACTTATAAGTGGAATTTGGTGTTTGCATTTGGAGGGCACAAAAATGCATCTTGCTTACCTCACATGTTAATACCTATATATGATACACACATAACCCCAGTTTGTGTACCTATGGGGTACCAACAGATCGCTTATGCAAAGGTGCTAAGCACCAGCACAGAACAGTGCAGTACCCCCAAACTCCACCCATGGTGTAACTTAATAAATGACCCTCATCTTTTTGGCAACAGTCGCAAAAAACAATTGACATGTACGATATACCATGATTCAGAAACTATTAGCATTACGTAATAAAAAAAACTGTTCTCATTATTACTTAAAAGAGCCTGTTGTACAGCAAGTCATATTCAGGCCACTTACCCAGTTGTATAGTTAAGAGCTAGAAATGGTTATTGGTTCAAGTCCCAAGCAAGATACATAATTGGAAATGAATAACAGCACTGCTTATTGTCAACAGGCAGTTAAATTTGGGTTTGCCGTTATTATACTGCTTGTCATTTGTAACGGCATTTCTCATGTCTTAGATCTTCAGGCATAATAATTTTAATAATAGAATAACTTTAAAATCAGGATCACAATAGTATATGAAACATTTCTATACAGTGTTTGTGCAAAAATAATGAGTTTGTTGCAATATATGTTACTTATGTATGCAGATACTCTTGTGGATGGAGAACTCATTTCTTCTCAGTGACACCATTCATCTCTGAAATGTGTTATAAGTTCTGGTGTTTTCTCAAGCATAACTGAGGGAACACAACATCTGCTGGATTAGCTTAACTCTGTAATGCTGAAGTTCTTTGCCTCAGACTTGAACTCACTGATCAGCCAATCCCAGAATGCCACAGTACTGGTTTCGGCCAATCCCAAACTGCTATTAACATACACCCCCTTTCTGACTGTTTGTGCTCCGAGATGTTTGAAGGGAGTTTTTTTTTTTTTTGGTTTTAGCCTAAATTACTAGTTGAATTCATACCACCGGTCACTCTTTAACACTTGGTTTTGTAAGTCTGTTCTTTTGCCCAGACACTCTGCACACTGCATGGGAGATGGCATTGTTCAGTAACTACACAGTCCCATAGTTAATCATAAAATTAAACTGCATACTTACATTTTATCCAGGTTTTTTTTCCTGCAGTTAATGCCTTATGGGCTCAGGTTTAACTGAACAATAACATAACTGTATAATCGTTAATACTTTGATTTTGTCCATTTTAATTGAATTAGACTATGGAAAAAATATGTACATATATAAAACTTATAAGTTTACATGTTGATATGGAGGAGAGAATTTCATGGGGCAATTTAGAGAGCTGTGTGAACAGGGAAAAACTGATACGTGAATGACTTTTGGGTTTGTTTACCAAACTCTCTGCTGTGTGGCTTTGCATTTAGGTGCAGGTTTAATACACCCAGACCAAAACACGAGGAACCTGACCTGGAAGGAAATATTACACTTACTGTTATCCCTTAAGCTCAGCCCACCTCCAGCTTTCATAAGACGCAATTTCAGGCTTTTTAATTTACCATTTCAATTATTTAAAAAAAAAAATCCCTTTTTTGAGTGTCTTGTACCTCATTAATGTTGTTTTAAGCTTCAGGAATGATAGTCATCCCAAACCTCAATTTTGGGCGTCCAGCCCTGAGCTTTTAAATAGCCTGTTTATGTATGATCTGTTTAGAGTTTTTTTTTTTTTTTGGATCTTGTTTGGATTTGAGACTTTTCTCCTTGGCTTTGTGAACTGGCTTCTTTTCCTGCATATCAATTAAGGAAAAAACTGAGACGTTTCGGGAAATCTAACTGTTTATTCAAGTCCTTGAAACTTTTTACAGCGTAATTATTTACTTTTTTGTATGTGATTTAGACAGACGCAGCATAGAATAACTTGATTGTAAGCCCATTCCTCAGCGTTACTTTTCCATGCAGGAAATACTTGCGATGACCAGCCCTGCGGTTGCCGAGAGTCGACGGCCGACAGCGGTATCCGCATAAATAACGCCGCAGTGTAAGCGGAGCCGCGGCTGCTGACTTAGCATGTATCCGTGCTGCAGGAGCCCCTTCACTCCCTGGCAACGATTCACGTCTCGGAAGGAGCAGCTGTTGCCTCACCCTGATCACTTGCAGCCAGAGCTGAATACTGAGGCAAAGGGCACATAGCTAAGTCATTCAGCGATCGAGATATAAGGTGTTTTTTTTAATGAGGTCTTTGATCGCCACCATGATTTACTATCCATCCATCAAAGGACAAACGACACTATACCTGCAGCTTGATGTGCGCAAAGAATTATTCAAATTACGTAACTCTAGCACAGAATAAAGCATAAAATTAACCTGAATGTCATACTCCAAAGAACAGGCTTTCATGACCAGTACATAAAAGCTCTTGATCTGGTAACCTTCAATGAAACACACAAAACATAGCCTAAATCTCTCATTTTTTCATCTGTTATATTTTTAAGTGATATAATTGTATTTTTAATGAGCTACTTGTATTTCAGTTAGACCGTTCATTCTGTTTGTTTTCATAGGGCTTATGATTTTGGATTTATGCTCTCTAACAAATTTCTGTGACTTCCCAAGAAAGTTCAATTTAAGCATTTAGCCATATTTATTCAGAATATTTTTTAGTCTGTACTGCTACAATTAAAATGGGAGGAAGGAACCTAAAAAAATAACTTCTAAAGCTTTACTCCAAAACATTTGAAGAATTTGTAGGATTCAGAAGAGGAGCAAGGATTGTATATCGGCTGACTTGTTGAGCACATTGGAAAGTGATACAGAGACGGTTTAAATATGTTAGTACAGTGCAGGAATAGCTTTGGTCATCAAGTATTCTGTGAGGCATTTGTCTGAGAAGCCACAACTGGTTCTTACAGGTTTCAGCTGACCAAACAGCGGCCGGCTTGCAGTCAACAAGAAATCTGTCCCTCGTTCTCTTGCAAAAAAGAGAGAGCACATCCTGATCCTGCAAAAGCACGTTTGGAAATACACACTTAATAATAAAAGCGACAAATTTACTGGTGCAGTTAGAAATTTAACATGTGGTAAGTGAGTAGGAAAATGGACATTTGCATGAATAGCTGATACAGTTTGTAAATGAAAACGAAGTGAGTGATAAAATGCCCATTTTATGCACGGCATTAGCAGTGTTGTCTTAGAACAGCCTCCCAAAGCGAGACGTTCAGCATCATGAGACCTGTTAGGTGTTGCCGCGTTGGAATGCTTAGCTGGTGGTGATAATCTGATTTGCTTTCAGCAGCATGTGCTGCTTTGCCGCACCATTGCCTTGGCCGGCTGCACTGATGTCTGTCACTGCTTCTTGTTTCCTGCTGCTTTCACAGCGGTCCCATCATTTCCATTACAGGCCTGTTTAACAAGCTCCATAGGATCAGAACGAGGACACAAAAAGTCGGTTTTCTCCAGGATTTTAGCCCAGTGTTTTATTGTTTTAATTATACTGCCATATAGAGAAAGCAGGGCCATTTGCTGACAGGACTCTGGAGATGTGTTACATAAATAAGAAACAAACACGAAAACATTCCAGGAAATTACTTTTTCTTTTCATGAACCCTTCATTTTACTTTTCACCTGTATGGTAGATGCGCTTTCTTCATTCTGCCACATTTTGCCCTAACTTGCAAGTGAAAAAAACCCCAGATATTTTTAGGAGCCGCCCCTCATCGTGTTGTGAACCCTTTCACACGGGAGATGCCCCTGCCTCGGCTGTTGATAGGCATGCCTGTGGCCTCTGCAGATGGGTGGGTGTCACACAGGCTCCCAGAAACCTCTAGGGGAGGGAGGAGCTCTTTGGAAGGCAGAGCTCCGCAGGAGGCGGAGCTTCACGCTCTGAGCTCTGAGTAGTTGAGGCTGTGATTTCTAGCATGTGATCCTCATTACTCCTGGCCTAATAACATAAGTGATTATTTGAAATGAATGGATGTCAGTGCAAAGCCAGTGTTTAGACCAGGGGTGGGCAGTTTTATGCAGAAAGGGCCGTTGTGTATGTGGGTTTTTGCTGCAACTCCCTAATTAGGGTACTAAGTAGAGGACTGGTTTTCTGAAGAGTTCTCACACCTGCGTTTGCACAGCTGACCTAAAGGTTATCCCAAAAACCTGCACACACACTGACCCTTGCATGAATTAAGCATAGATTCAAGATGCAAGATTTAAGGTTCAAATTATTGTCATATGTACAAAGTACAGTATACAAAGCACTTCTAAACAATTCTTGCTTGAAGTACAATGAAATTCTTGAAGTATATATGTTACTGGTACTTACACAAATATGATCAAAGACTCTAGAGCCACACCAGTCCATTCTGGTTATAAAAATGCCCCATTTTTTATCACTACTCAGCCACAACTATGAAATTTGTACATCCAGCTTTTTCTGGATGGTTTTTCTCATGCATTATTGCACTTTCAGGATTTTGGGCTCGAGAGGTTGGGAAGCTTATAGGCCTGGAGCATCCAACCATCCCGGTTCATCACCAGTACGTGGTGACGGCGACTGTGCCACAGGTGAAGGCCCTGAAGGCGGAGCTGCCTGTGATCCGGGACCTGGAGGGATCCTACTACCTCCGGCAGGAGCGGGACGGCCTGCTCTTCGGGCCGTACGAGAAGGAGGCCAAGATGAAGCTGCAGGACTCCTGGTTCAGAGACGGAGTCCCTCCAGGTAGGTTGTCTGCCATCAGCGGATCAGAAGCTGCTTCAGAGCTGCTCCAAAGCCACTTACACTTTATGTTTATGCTCCCTGGGATGTAAATCTTCAGCAGAGCTATTGCAATAGACTCTTACATGGAATGTTGACCAGCATGGTGGGTATCATCACAGGTGGGGGGGTGCAAATGCATCCTCAGCTTAGTGTGTGTGGATTTTGAATTACCCTTTTTTCTCTGTGGTTTTCCAGTTTCCTGTGTTATCGGATAGTTTCTGAACCATTGTGGTCCTAATCATGATCATCTAAGAGGCCTGTCTGTTAAAAATCAGTTTAAAGTTTAGTTTTACTTACTTTTGCATGAGTTTTGCATGCATTCTCCAATCCAATCATAATCATTTTCAAAATCATTTTCATCCTAGCTGTTTAAATCACTCATAGATGTGTTTCAGAGAAACTTAACAAAATGAGTGGGGAAGAGAAATCTGGTCACTAAAAATCATTTGCCTTCCGCTGTATGGGAATATTTTGGATTCCATACAGATGATATTGAGCAGCAACACCACCAGCTTATTTGATGGAATCTCTTGGTGGACAATATGTTCTATTTGGCTACAGTTTATTTTGGGTAAATTTTGAACTCTTTTTTTGCATTAAAAATATTGCAATATTTATCTAAAAAAAAAAAATCACATTACGATTCTTGACATGCTGTCAATATCGGGCAGCCCTACTGTTTATCTTGCTGTTAGTGGCATCAGTTTTGCATGTCTGTTTTTTTGTTCAGGCTTTGGGAAGGAGCTCTTTGAATCGGACTTGGACCGCATTATGGAGCATGTAGAGGCTGCCATGGAGATGGTTCCTGTCCTGAAGGATGCTGACATCATCAATATCTTGTCAGGTCCCATCACATACACCCCAGACCTTTTGCCTATGGTGGGACCTCACCAAGGTGTGCGCAACTACTGGACTGCAGTTGGCTTTGGGTAAGCATATGTCACCTATAGATGCAGCATGCAGCCTAACGTCATATCCCTTCATTTTTATTTTGCAATGACACGAGTTCCTGTTTACTTGAAGCCTTATTGGCTGTTATTGAATGCATTTGTGTCTTCATATGAGCCATCGTAAAGTATACAGTACTTATAAAAAGTTTGGACACACCTATCCACAGAATGGTGTATTTCTACTATTCTCTACATTTTAAAATAAAAATAAAGACAACGAGACTATAAAATAGCATATATGGAATTATGTACTTACCAAACAATATTAAACAAAAAAATTAATTGTAGGTGTGGGGCAGCTCTGTTCAGAAGGTTCAGATCCATGGGTTGGCAGAGTGGTCCCACCATCGGTCCCCTGACCAAGGCCCTTAACCCCAGTTGGTCCGATGACTGACTGGCTCCAATGTCTCCTTTGCACCAGTTTCATGAGGTGGCCTCCTGGGATGCTTTTCCTGCTGTCCTGAAGGAGGTCCACATATATACTGAGCATTGGCCATATTTCCTTCACTCTCTGGTCAAACTCCTCCATCTGTACTGCGTTTAGGTCAGGTGGCCTGGTCATATGATGTGACACAATCACTCTCCTTTGTCGGAGGCTTAGTGTCTCCAAACTTTTGACTGCTACTGCATATTTGTGACATTATAGAGGACAGAGAAGAACGTGGGTTTCAATCATGAAGATGCACTTTTTTGTCTATTCTGGAATGGATTGACCACCACAGAATAGCTTTACCGAGGAGATGCTTATCTGGTTTGAAGTGAAGAGCTAATCTGAGACAGATGTGCATTGCAGCTATGGAATCATCCATGCTGGAGGGATGGGCAAGTTCTTGAGCGACTGGATTGTTAATGGGGAGCCGCCCTTTGACCTGATCGAGTGCGACCCCAACCGCTACGGAAAGTGGACCACGGAATCTTACATCTGTGCTAAGGCTAGGGAATCGTACGGCTTCAACAACGTAGGTGAGTCTGCAGGCTATGGGAGTCTGAGCTGCTGTGGTCACTTAAGATGATGCCAGATGTAGATATCTGTAGATATTTAATTGTACAGAATTAAATCACTGAACCTGCAAAGTCATCTGATGTGCTCCAGCAATTCAAATCTGTTCTTCCAGACACTGATAGCATCACAATCCAGGGGCAGAACACAACAATTTTGTTGTTGTACAGCCCTTGTGAATATCTGCATGTTCTCCATCCCTTCGTCTTTTCAGTGGGATACCCAAAGGAGGAGCGCTTTGCGGGCAGACCCACGCACAGGGTGAGCGGCGTGTACGACCAGCTCAAATCCAAGGCGTCTATGGGATTTCATGCTGGTTGGGAGCAACCTCACTGGTTCTACAAGGATGGAGACGAGACTGGATACAGGTTGTCGATGCCCTTGAGCGTTAAATCAAAAGCCAGCAACATCCCTCTCAAATCTAAAATAAAACTGGATTTGTCTTTTTCAGTTCTTTAGCGATGTGGGATTCTCACTAGTGTTCCATGTCTCATTGGCTAAGCTAACAGTATCTCCTGTGAAATCTCCTTTTCCGTTTATGGGTTAGGAATATAGACCTTCTGCATAGTCTAATGGAATATAGACTATAGGATTAGTGCAAATAAAACCACATTGGAAAGAACACAGGGAATTACTTGAAGAGGAGAAAATATGTCCTGACAGGCAGTATAATTTGCTCTTGTTGGGTTCTCTTGGACTCCGATCAGGAGAGTTGCGTAAGACATAATAGCAACTGGTAATACGTAGCAGCTGTGTTTTCAAATTCAAATTCAAAAAACTTTATTTGTCCCCGAGGGGCAATTTAAAAGGCATAAAGGAGCAGCGCACACACATAACAGTTGTATCATATGACACAACAGATGACACACAATAACAGACATATTTTGGTGAAATGTACTAGTAGGAAAATGCAGTGCTAGTAGAAACAAATTAATCAATCAAAGATTTAAAGTAATAAATTACCATAATAAAGTAATAATTGTAATATATCACTATCAGTTTTTTATGTGTCTCACTATATACAGCACTTTGTTTGAATAGTCCTTATTTCTCATTGGTCAACTTGCTGCTTGTATTTCTTCTGTCCTGGTCAGGCCGAGTTTTCAGCGCACAAACTGGTTTGAACCTGTGGGACGGGAGTACAGGCAGGTCATGGAGAAAGTGGGGGTGATTGACCTGACCCCATTCGGAAAGTTCATGGTCAAAGGGAAGGACTCGGTGAAGCTGCTGGACCGTCTCTTTGCCAATGTTATGCCGAAGGTACACATTGGTCACGTTAGGCTGTTTATCGTTTAGCGTCGTTACACCACATTCATCACTTTTACGTAGAGGATTTTATACTGAAGGCTTCCAAATAAAGGGCAATACAAACTGCATGATGCAGCAAGGAAGAAATATTATTAATGAACAAACAGTTGTGGCCAAAAATATTGGCATCCCTGCACTCCCTTCAGAAAATGCACCATTTCTCCCAGAAAAGTGCAGCAATTACAAATGCTTTGATGTCGACATGTTCATTGCTTTTGTTTGCATTAGAGCAACACAAAAACACAGAGGAAAAAGGTCAAATGTGATATGCCAGTATTTTTGTCCATGACTGTAGCATGTATATTACGTGACAATACATAATTTTATTTAATATAAAAGTTAGGTGGTTACCACCGTAGCCTCAGGCAAGCAGGATTAGGGGTTCAGACCTCACTTTCGGTGTGTGTGTGGAGTTTGCACTTTCCCCCTGTGTAGGTTTCATGCTGCAGTCCTAAAACATGCCCACCTTCATTTCAGGTGGGCATGACCAACATCAGTCACATGCTGACCCCCACAGGGAAGGTCTACGCCGAAGTGACGATAACACAGCTTACCGAAGGAGAGTTCCTTCTCATTACTGGCTCTGGGTCAGAGCTACATGACCTCAGGTCAGTCTCGGAATCTGTCCAAAGAAATATGCAGAGGTAAACCAATAAATGGTTAAACGCCACAAGCATTGCTCACACCCATTCTCACGCGCTCCTATAGTTGTGGCTTTCAGGATAAGGACTTGCAGACATATGTGAAAGTTGATGATTTAAGTTCCAGGAGGGACTCTGCAGTGGTCCCTGTGAGCAAAATGTCTAATGTGAACTACTTCAATACAAGGTGCAGTTATATTTGGGTCTTGGGAAATTAGGTATGGTAGAGTTTTTAAGTCCCTGCCTTGATAGTGGTGTGTCCCCTGCGTTACTTTGGCTGAATACTTAGGCCCAGCTGCACAAATGGATAAGACTGTTGGAACTGAATGTGAACAAGGTCAGGGTCAGCAGTCTTAATGCAACATAAACTGATAAGGATACACAGACTAAGAGAAGGTAAAGCAAATGCATGATCTCCCAGGTTATCCAAATACGTAACACTTTCATTTACGTATCTCTAACCCTCTTTGCTGGGTGTGTGGTAATCCAAGTTCACATTATGCATGGGATTCAAGCCCTTTTACACAGCTGCGTTTTGATATTGCTCTGCGTCTGCCTTTATAGCAGCTGATTATTAATCTGGATTCTCTCAAGGTTTGCAGTAAAATCTGGGCTGGTTGTGTTGTACATTGCCCTCTACTGGCCACAAGTGGCATTTCAGGCATTTTATAAAAACACAGTAAGACATGTTTGATCAGTTATCACCTTGCAGATGGATTGAAAAGGAGGCGGAGGATGGTGGCTACGATGTGAGCATTACCAACGTGACGGAGGACATGGGGGTGCTGGGCATAGCGGGACCCAAGTCTAGGACTGTCCTGCAGAAACTGACAGATGAGGATATGAGTGATTCCAGCTTTAAGTTCCTTCACTGCAAGTCCATCAAAGTGGCCGGAATTCCACTGAGAGCTATAAGAATCTCTTATACAGGTAGGATGTTATCTGTGCATGAAGGGGGACGCAGCACCATTCTGTTAATGTCACTCAGCAATGAATCCCCCAAAATCTGAAGCACAGCCATTAAAAACACAATTACATGGAATCATAACCTGAATGTTGTTGGTTTAAGTCCCAGAAGGTCTCCTCCTGTAGGTCCTCTGCATAGTATATGATCAAATAATGCTCCAGTGAAGTTTGACATTTGCAGTAAATTTAACATATTTCACAAATGTGCTGTATTTGAATTTACATTCAATGAAAAGGATTATTCCATGTTTTTTTTTTGTAAAATATTCATACTGTGCTAAAGTCTTAGGCAGCCAAAGAAAATTCTGATTCCGTTTTAAATGATCTTCATGTTGGTGTAAAACTGTAATATTGTGTCTGTCAAAGTCTGTTAGCTTAGCCATTTCAAAACCTCTGCTAAAATCACCCCAGTATGTGAAGTAACCATCCAGTATACCCATGTATCACTAGTACACCTTGTATAACTAATCAATGCCTCATTGACTTTTTTTTTAACTAATTAAGTAAATTAAGTGAGCTGGTGGTGAAATTTAACAAATACATGGAATGGCTGGGGTGCCCCTGAGGAGAGGCTTGTAAACTGAAGCGGCGTTTATCCAGCCGTCCAACAAGATATCAGCAACTTTTTAGAGAACAGAAGGAATTCTTACTAGTTTTTATTCTGGCATTCTTTATTTGCATATATTCAAAAGTAAAATTGTGCTTTTTTCTGAGCAAAAGTATACTTACTACCCAGATAAATAGCTTTAAACATTTTGACTGCCTAGGACTTTTGCACAGTACTGTGTTTATGTGTGTGTGTGTGTGTGTGTGTGTGAGTCTGAATATATATGCACATTATATACGTATTCACATACTCACATGATATGTATAGTAGTGGCCAAAAATTTTTAGAACACTTGACATATTTAAGAGGTTTCAGTTGTTTTTGTTGAATTGCCCATTAAAATGCCCATAAAACGAATGAAATATCTACAAAGTCATTATTATACTCTAGATTATACTAGAATAGAGCCATCATAAGGAGATTTAGGTTATGTTTCTTACAAAAAAAGCTAGGCCCATTTCACTGTCAGTGTCACACAATCATGTTCCTTCACAGAAGAAGCCAAATTACTTGTGTAATCACTATCAGGTGTGATCATGGTTAAATTGGTGATACAAGTGTCTTAGGGCACAAATGTACAAGATCTATTCTGCTCCTTAAGTGATTGGTCAAATCTGAATTATGTCACTGAGGCCACGCCATCAATTGGTATAAATTCAAAGCCTCTCCTTTGAGCATGGCTACGGTGAAGGAGGAGCTAACGAATGAGCTACGGGTTCAAATAAAGGCCCTTCTTGATGCTGGCTGGAGTTACCGCCACATAGCCAAAGACCTGAGATGCAGTCCAAGCACTGTAAAGTACACTTTAGACTGTCATGATGCCACCAACTCACACCAGAACCAGAAGGGAAGAGGGAGGAAAAAGACACTTTCAGACAGACAAGTGAAGCATCTCCAAATTCTCAGTCTTAAGGACCGAAGACAGACCTCACAAGAACTGCATGCCGAGATCAACACCACAATGACTAATGGTGGAACGGTGTCTTCAAGAATCGTGCATCGGATACTGGGACAACAAGGACTTGTTGGCAGAATAGCAGCAAAGAAACCATTACTGAGAGAGAAAAATTTAACGCCTGAAATTTACAAAAGAACACAAGAAATGGACAAAGGAAGATTGGTATAAAGTGTTGTGGACTTATGAGTCCAGTTTGGCAACACATGAAGAGTATGTGCAACGGAGGGAGGGGGAGAGATATAAAAAGGAGTGTCTCTTGCCAACAGTTAAACACGGAGGGGGTAGTATTATGGTGTGGGCTGCCAATTCAGCCTCAGGAACAGGTGACTTAGTGAAAATTGATGGCATCATGGATGAGAAAGTATACCACAACATTCTGGTGAGGCACGGAGTACCATCTGGGAGTCGTCTTATTGGGCCTGGATTCATTTTCCAAGAGGACAATGACCCTAAACATTCTTCTAACTATTGCCGGAACTACCTGCGACAGAAGGAATCTGCTGAAACATTGAAAATGATGGACTGGCCCCCTCAAAGTCCGGACCTCAACCCCATCGAGCAAATTTGGGGCGGGTTGGAAAATAAACTGGACAGATCTATTGTAGTTTAAAAGGAAAACCTTTGGCTTGAGTTGCAGAAGGCATGGGATAACATTAGTGTTGAAGTTCTCAGGAAATGTACTGACACTATGCCAGAGAGATGAGCTGCTGTAACTGCTGCGAAAGGTGGACACACCAAATATTAAAGTTAAAAGTGGATAAAAATAGTAGGACTCACTTCATCTGATATGTGTTGTGCTCAGCGCAACCATCTGCATATTTCATGAACATTATGAAATTAAATCATGTTTTGGAGACAAAAAAGGTCAATATTCTCAGATCTGTCAGGTGTTCTAATAATTTTGGCCAGCACACTGTATGTGTGTGTGTGAGTGTGTGTGTATGTGTGTGTATGAGTGTGTGTGTGTGTGTGTATGAGTGTGTGTGTGTGTGTATGTGTGTATGTGTGTGTATGAGTGTGTGTGTGTGTGTGTGTGTGTGTGTGTGTGAGTGTGTATGAGTGTGTGTGTATATATATATATATAAAGTTGGAGAATATCTTCCTGTATATTCATTTTATTTATATGTTTTTGTATACTCAATTTATATATTTTATATATATATATATATATATATATATATATATATATATATAAACAAGTTTTTTTTTTTAAAAAAGTTTGCATGCTTCAGGAGAGCTGGGCTATATGAGAGTGGTCAGACACTGCATATGCTGTGTGTGCATGCTTCAGGGGAGCTGGGCTGGGAGCTGTACCAGGACAGCAAGCACACAGCCGCCGTGTACCAGGCCCTGATGCAGGCTGGAAGGGACGAGGGCATCGACAACTTTGGGACCTACGCCATGACCTCACTGAGACTGGAGAAAGGCTTTAGGGCCTGGGGAGCAGAGGTGAGGGGAGATCCAACCCAACAAAGCCATTCAGGACCCAAATCTGAGCCTTACCCAGGACATTAATATAGTCAAATTCGTCTACCTGACTCTGACTGTCCACAGGCCAGTTTCCTTCCTTGATAGTATAACAGCAGTACAGTGGTACATCAGAACTTGAACTTAATCCGTTCAGAACTCAGTTTCGGATCCTAAAAAGTTCGAGTTCTGATAGAATTTTCCCCATAAGAAATAATGGAGAACCATTTAATTGGTTCCCGGCCCCAAAAAATTACACCTAAATATGTTTTTTTTTTGTTAGCATTTAAACACAAGATGAACAGGATAAAACAAGAAGAGCATATACTAAACACATCTAAGCACATTTATCAAAACAGTCATTTTGTCACACCGTGCACAGGACGAGCGAGCATGGAGCGCAGAATCAGGGTCAGGCAGACGGAAATCCAAGAACAGGGGGTTTATTGCTGGCAAACAAGGCACAACACGGCGTAGACTTCAATGACAGGACTGGGGAAACATACCTGAACACGAACTTAAATACACGACTAACTGTAAATAACGAGAAACAGCTGATGACATCGGGATATCACGCGAGGTTAACGAGGGGGGCGTGGCACACAGGAGGATCGTACAAGCCGGGCGTGACAAATTTGTAAAGAAAATAAGTGTACCCAAACAATGTGCAATGGCAACCAAAATGATATAAAGTACAGTGTATTCCCTTTTTATTTTCAATAAAAAAGCACTATCACCAACAAATGATGCTATCACAGCGAAAGTGAGGCTGTGACCGAAGCATTACCCTTTGTTTCCGCTGACAGACGTGCCATGTGACTCATTTCCCCGTGCGTACAAGTTCTTAGGTCGGCGTTCATGGTTTGACTTCTGAGATTCAGATCGAGTTCTAGGTCATTTTTTCCCGAACTGGTTAGTTCGACTTAAGAAATTCGAGTTCTAATGAGTTTGAGTTGTGAAGTACCACTGTATTGTAGAAAAATCTAATCATGGTATAAAATCTTTTTATTATAAGGAAGACCGGGTCTGAACTCTGATGGCTTATGCCTGGTGAAGGCCTAGTGCCAGAGTGTTTAACCTAGGGGGAGCAGTAATAAAATGAAAATAAACCATCAGCATTTGTACCCGATCTTCATTATTTTGATTCCATTGAATTGTCTATGAACTGGTGTTATCAGCCATCTGAGTAGGTTGTGCATGATGTTTTAAGTGTTTTTTACTGTCCACAAAACCTTTTCAGAAAATTGGCAGCTGAAATAGCTTTTTATGCTCTCTAAACCAGATGAACTGTGACACCAATCCTTTGGAAGCTGGCTTAGACTACTTCATCAAGTTAAACAAGGTACTTTTTCCATATTAGGTTTCCATTAACATTTACCATTTTTTATTTCATTGTCATGTACACTTGTGTACAGTCTGCCATTCCACCTTTCTTCCAGTACAAAAATCTGTACCTCCTGAGTTCTTTAGTTATAGACAGAAACTAGCAGAAGTGATACTTATCTGACATCATTTACATGTTTAGCTGAGCTTTTGAGAGGAAAGCTTGGGGTCAAAGGCCCCGTGTCCCAGGGGCCTTTGGGGTTTAGGGTCTCGCTCAAAGTCCTAATGGTGATACGATTCCTCTACAACTACAGGATTTGGACCCATGTTCAAACACTTATTTAGGGTGGAAGTGATAACTCACAATTCACACTTTTGACGAAATTGAGAACATGCAAACCACATCCCCAGGGCTCCCGCAGTCCCGACGGCAGGCAGATACCTACAGAGCTGTGCACTGCAAATGCATAGAACCATAAAATATTACATTAGTTGAATAATTTACCATTCCAGCATTAGTCCTTTGTACTACTGGATGTTAGACTGCTGTGCATCTGTAATACCAGCAGTGTCCAATTTGGAGCCCCCAGAAAACAGCCCCAGATGAGTTTGGGGGGGTGAGGGCATCGGCAGCCATAAGTCTCCCCAGGGCCACGTGAAGCTTTTATTTTGCCCTGTATTTTGGTAAAATCCAAATAAGTCCTTGGAATTGCAAAATTAATACCTTTTGATATTTTAAAATATTTCTTTATAATTTTTCTAAAAGCAAAATACAATCATACTACAGCCCACCCTCAGGCAATTTAATTTATCTGATGTTGATCTGTTGAATTATATTAATTCAGAGTTGCTAAGACACATTTCCTGAAACTTTTCAGTTATCTCAGAAGCTGAAACACAAAGCCTTTGACTTGTCTGGACTTACTTTGGCTTTGCTCAAACCAAACACTGCGTTCAGATCACACACTAAGGCTATCAAAATATAAACACTTCTCACTATTCATTACACACTACAGCAAGAAACTAAAATATTGCCCGATAAAATGGTTCCAGGCATCTATAGATAAAATGTCTGCTGTGGATAGTGTCTTTTGTAATATTATAAACCAACTGCACCTCAAGAGTAAAGAATATTTAATTGTTTAGAGAAATATGTGCATACAACTATATGTGAATCATTATAATGTTTGCAGTATTCAGCACTCCAAAAAATGTTACTGCAAAGGTCAAAGGGGAAAGTAAAAAATTCAAATGAGAGCCATATTACAGAAAATGCTACATAACAGCTAGGCCAAGGCAAAGGAAGTGTAGATCCTTCATCATCATCATCATCATCATCGTCATCACAGGAAATGCTCTCCCTTGCTGATAGATCCTCTGTGTGACCCATTTGTACCTTGTCATCAAAATTCAACTCACCTGTGGTACTTGAACTCTCATCCGGCACATTTTCTATGTTCACATGACTCTCACTTCTCATGTTTAGAAACATGGGAACAGTTTTGCAAAAAATCATTGATTTGATAACTGAGTTTTGACCTTTGACAGTTTTGTTCAGAATGTCAGTTTTAGTGTGTGAGCAATTCAGAAAAACTGTAACATTTGAGGTGTCACATCATGGGCAAAGACGGCGACGAATGTAGGCGGGGAGAAAACCAAAGGGGGCTTTATTAACTGAAATTACAGGTCAGGGCAAAAGGACCCACGCGGGGTCAAAACAGGGTAGGGAGGATCAGGAGAGAACACAGGGCAAACTGGGGAGTACAGGCAGGCAGCAACATCAATGACTGGACTGGGGAACTCGAGCCAGGGAGGCACTATATATACATCACTGATGAGGAAGCAGTTGAGAGGCACCTGGGGTGATCCACACAAGGGCTGTGATGAGAGGCAGGATTAAAGAGGTAACAGGTGTGCCTCATTAGAGCCTCGCCTGAGGGGAATGAGGGGAAAGGAAGAAGGGCGTGACATGAGGCATTTCATAAACTCACAAAAGAGTAGGATCAAATTAACTTGCTGAACCATGTGAAGTCTCATTCAGGTTGAGTGTTCTGTCTGCAAAACCATGCAGTTCCTAGTGACACTGGTCAGGCACATGGACTGTCTGCCCAACTGTAAAGGCAAAGGTTGACATGGGGTGAAGGTAAAGGTAAAATCAGAAATATTCCACACCATGTGCTTTGAATAAAAACCTCTCTCAACACTGCTAGACAGCTCAGCCATAACAAGGAATCGAAATCTGTAGCTGTTTACTGCATTCGGTCCTGTGCTAATTTGCCTTTTCACCCATCATTGGAACTTCAGATCCAAAGCATTTACTGAAGGGTTGCAGCTGTGAGGCTGGCAGGGAGGCTCACACCTCTGTGGTTGGGGGTTTAAATCTCACCTCTGGCTGTGTGTGTGTGTAGAGTTTGCATTTTCACCCTTTGTGTTCACAGGTTGCCTCTTACAGTCCAAAAACATGTGGTTAAGTCAACTGGCGGGTCTAAATTTAGAGTGTGACTGTGTGTGGCCTGCGATTAGACCGGCGTCTGATTCAGGGTGCCCGGCCCTGCTTGGGATAGGCAGGTAGCTGCTAATCCGTAGTGGATAAATACTTCTGGAAGATTAATGGCAGCTGGCACAGAGCTACACGGGTATTAGCATGGTGTGACGTAATGATTGCCCTGAGGAGATACACAGGCATTGGCATGGAGTGACGTAGTGACTCCCCTGAGGAGATACACAGGCATTGGCATGGAGTGACGTAGTGACTCCCCNGATACACAGGCATTGGCATGGAGTGACGTAGTGACTCCCCTGAGGAGATACACAGGCATTGGCATGGAGTGACGTAGTGACTCCCCTGAGGAGATGGCCAGCAGGGAGCGGCCTTTGCCATGTTCTCTGTTTTCCAGCCTGCTGACTTCATTGGAAAGAAGGCTCTTCAGGAGATCATGGCTGTGGGCCTGACACGCAAGCTGGCTTACCTCACCGTGCAGACTGATGACGTTGACCCTGAGGGCAATGAGACCATCTGGCATGATGGCAAGGTGAGGTTTTCCCACATCAACAGAAGATGGTGGACTAAATGCTCTTACTCAGTTACTGTACATAAACTGCCAAGATTCTGTGATATACAGCTAATGAAATTATATAGTTCAGCTTTTAAAATAGGATAACATGATGATAATTTACTTGAGGGGGCACAATGTAGTAATGCTCTTAATTAATGCATTAACTGATCAGTTACATACTGATCCCATGTTCATTCAAATCATGATGTTTCATGGATTTCATACTTTATTCATGATTTGTTCTTGTAGTAACTGAGTAAGTTATTTGTGGCCCCTCAAGTAATGTATGACCGATGATACTTCATTGACTCCGGGGGGAAACTTCATTTAATTTTGTTTAACCAAACTTTTGGTGTGCAGATTGGTTTACTTCATGCAATTATTTGGGAACCCCTACCCTGAGCTATACATGAAGGACAGTATCATAACTTCAGTGGCAGTCAAATACAACATTGCTATCCATAAGATGATTGTATAAAGTGTAGATTTGATTTAGGGTATAATAGTGATCTCACATTTACTGTAAGTATCATGGTCCTGGGATGACCAGTTTTCTACAGCAGTGTGTGTATTGTCACTATCTGTTGTACCTGCTTCAGGTGGTTGGGAACACGACTTCCGGGGCCTACAGTTACAACGCTGGGCAAAGCCTGGCCTTTGGTTACCTGCCCGTTGCGCTGAGCGCTGTGGGCCAGAAGGTGCAGGTGGAGCTGCTGGGCAAAAAGTATACAGCCACTGTGGTCCAGGAGCCTCTGGTGATGACAGAGCCGACGAGGACCCGTATGAAGAAGAAGAAGAAGGCTACAGGCACGACTAAGGAAGGCCACTGAGAAGCCTGTTTGGGACCAGTGGGCAGAGTGTGGGGAGTAACTGTGCGTTTCGATGGCCCAATCAAAAGAAACGTCTTCCTCTATGTGGTTTGCTTTAGACGGAGGAGTAAAACCCATGTCAACATTACGTAACTGCCTCTGAGTTTGCTGAAGTGTGTTGTGAAGGAAAATGCTGTAATTATGTGGGGTTTCGTGAAGAATGAAAATTCTCCAATCTATTCTCCTTTTCTGAACACATACTCAGGGTGCCCCCCTGAACACGGCTGCTGACCAATGTCGCTCAATCGCTTTCCCATTGATATTGGGCAACACATGTCTATTAGAAAAACTTTGATCGGCAGTGGGCAACTTTTCGCGATCATCCAGATCCAGATGAGCTGCCCCTTGTCTCACCTGCTTGTCAATTCCAAGGCAACATTGGTAATAAATTTGTCCTGTGTAACATCACAATAGGACCTTGCATCCCCAGCCACACCATCCTCGAATCTCCTTTAATCTCTCCAAAGACACAGCATTACTGGCACATGAATAATTAAGTCATGATTAAAACAGCCTTCCTTATAATCATATTCCAGAATCACAGTCTCCCATAGTAAAATTCAATCAGCTATTATATGTATTAATCCCACCATGCACCCAAGCCATCACACACCTATCCCCTTCAGAAATTCCTTCCAGTTTGACCAGGGCGAGTCATGGATGTGTGCCGTGGAAGGAGGATATGGTAAAGGTCTGCATGACCACTTCGGCAAAGAGTGTCATTTGCAAAAATGGTACAATTTAACAGTATGAGACCCAGTGTTTTCATTCATCTACACTTTAGATACCCGCAGAGTAGGTACAGGATAACTACTCTACTAATAATTAAACAGATGTGAAAAATATTATACTTTATATTACGTTATATTTTCAGCGCAAAAAAGAAAGATGATACAATACTTGTTCATGTATAATTATTCATTTATCATGTTGAAGAAGCAATATAACATACACAACATTTGGTACTGACATTTGTAAGTAACCAAAATTATTGTAACAATAATAAGGAAGGATTGAACTGTGAAGCTAGTAAAGTTGTATTTTATACATTTAAACGTTGGATTGACCATACTCCAAGTAGAAAATAAGCTACATTAAACATATTAAAATAAATTTACCTTGATGCATGCTAATGAATCAATGGAAAATACACTACCCTTTCCGCCAACATAAAAGAATATATTTCAAATTACAGTTTATTGCCATGAAAATGTTATTTTCCTAGTCGAGATGTCACGTGAGCTTCCTCACCCCCAAAACGTCTTATAGTTTAGTGTCAGCATGACTGTAACTGTATACGTGCAAAGCTGCAATTTGAATTAAAGTCTGAGTCTGTTTCCGCACTGAAAATCAACGCTAAAATTCGCTTGATTCCATTAATATATAGGATAAAATACCGACCGGAACAACCATGATAATAAGGTCTGTTGGGCAGTTACAGTTACGAAATCTAGCATGGCGCAAAACCACGTGCCTGTATCTTTAAAAACGCAAGAGCTTCCTTTAGACTGCAACTTCCTCCTTTATGCCTGTACCGAAGCCGACAGGCAGCTAGAATGGTGACTTTAGCCCTAGTTGCCTGCTTCCTCCTGAGGGCTTGTTTAATATTAGGCTTTGCTTCTTCAGAGGCTGCCAGGACACAGCCGCACATCGTTTTTATTTTAGCCGACGACTACGGCTGGAACGACGTGGGCTACCATGGCTCCGAGATCAAGACGCCCAACCTGGACGAGCTTTCGGCTGCAGGAGTCCGGCTGGAGAACTACTATGTGCAGCCGTTGTGCACGCCGTCCAGAAACCAGCTCATGACGGGGAGGTACCAGGTGACTGTCAGCTGATTGCTACCAAGCCGGGCGCCTCAAATAAACCGGGCAATAGTCCCAAAGCACAGCGATAATAAGTTCTAGTAATAAGTCAGTGTTGATTTAATGTTTATGTGACTGTTAAGTCTTTTCTGAAATAAATACACTCGCATTGCTTTGAGGCTTCTTGAAGTCCATCGTCCTCCGTTTTTTGACGGCTAACATGGGTCATAAAAGAGAAGAGGAAGAAAGGACTTGTTTACTTTAAACAGCCGTGTGATTGCAGCCCCGAACATGCCGTGTGTCTCAGATCCGTACAGGTATGCAGCACCAGATCATCTGGCCATGCCAGCCGTACTGCGTGCCCCTGGAAGAGAAGCTCCTGCCTCAGCTGATGAGAGAAGCTGGTTATAATACTCACATGGTGGGCAAGTGGCATCTGGGCATGTATAAGAAGGACTGTCTGCCCACTCGTAGAGGCTTCGACTCCTACTTTGGTGAGCCCTGGAATTTACGTCTCAGATGCTGTCATTCTAGTAATTTAATAACTTAATTGTGAATATAAATGCATCATCCCTTGGTGCTGAATATGGCTTTAAATGCATAGTCTTAAGTGGTTTACTTGGTCAATGAAAGAAAGTTATTGTAGTTGAGAAAATGCATTCATTCATATGGATTCAAGGGTGTAACTTTGGTTTGAACATTGAGAGGGTTTTTAGGGAGAAATATGATTATTGGGGGGTTGTATTAGCCGGTTTTGATTATTGGGGGTTATTTATGGGTACTTCATGCCCATGCATTGATGCATTATTAATAATCAAGCAATTTAGAATTTAGCAGCAGATGGAAAAAGGAACAAGCAGTATTTAAAGAGTAGGTAAAAGGAAACGATCTGGAGAGTAGGGCTGCACGATTCTGGAAAAAACGTCAATCGCGATGCTTTTGCTTAGAAGTGAGATCGCGATTCTCTGTAACGATGCCAGTACTTTTTTGGTACTTTGGTTTGGGGTGGATCTTGAAACACTTTCTTTTTTCAACAGTTATGCAAATAGCCTGCATCTGAAACGCAATACAACTTAGAAAACAACAATAAACGAGGTCAATAATAATAATAATAATAATAATGAATGGATGCGTGCGTGCGCAAATTAAGTGACCAGAGCTCAGGATACCATAAAAAAAGAAATAATAAAGCATTTCGTGTAATATACTAGGACAGCACAATACTGGGAAATTTCAAATTATTGCAATGTGATTTTGTTGTAATAAATATTAGTGTATTTATAAAACAAAAATGGAATTGAGCATAAATTAATCAAAAACTCGTCTAAGAGTGATGAAGACTGCAAGGATGGAAATGATTAGGGTCGTATCGGAGAACACAGGCAGCGCTCATGAAAAAGCAGCGGAGGTAAATTTTTTAAACATATATTAGATAATTATTATTCCTTTTCAAGATTAAAATTACAAAAGTTTTTTTTTCCTATGACAGAGTAAAAATGTTTTAGCAAAACTGGAACCCCCTGCACTATAATGTCTATATACAGAATTGAAAGTACTGTAGAAAAAAGGCTGATCTTAATCTAGGTGACTGGCGAAATAAGAATTGCACAAGCAGAGGAGTTTAAGTATCTTAGGGTCGTGTTCACGAGTGAGGGACGAAGGGAGCGGGAGATCGACGGACGGATGCCGTAATGCGAATGCTGTACTGTTCTGTCGTGGGGAAGAGGGAGCTGAGCCAGAAGGCAAAGCTTTCAATTTACCAGTTGTTCTGCATTCCTACCCTCACCTATGATCATGAGCTCTAAGTAATGACCGAAAGAATGAGATCGCGATGTCTGGGCTCAGCCTTAGGGATAGGGTGAGGAGCTCAGACATTCGGGAGGGACTGAAGGTAGAGCCGCTGCTCCTCCGCATCGAAAGGAGCCAGATGAGGTGGTTCCGGGCATCTGCCTAGGATGCCTCCTAACCCTAATCCTAGGATGCCCTAACCCTGGGGAGGTGCTTTTGGGCATGTCCAACCGGGAAGAGGCCCTGGGGCAGACCCAGGACACGCTGGAGAGGTTATATATCTCGGCTGGCCTTTGAACACCTTGGTGTTCCCCAGTGGAGCTGGAGGAGGTGGCTGGTGAGAGGGAGGTCTGGGTATCCCTGCTTACACTGCTTCAGATGTTGGATGGATGGATGGATGGATGGACGTAAAATGAAAAGGTGTGCATGCTACAACATAGAAAACTGTAATAGATTAAATGTGCCAACAGGACACGAGGTAAATTCTTTTGTTGTAAAATATAATGATGTTATGGTTTATTTGTGAGTTTGATGTGGAATATGTCATGTAAAAGTTAATAATTTGCATCTTGCCCACAGGCTATCTCACTGGCAGTGAGGACTACTTCACCCACAATCGATGTGTCAAAATTCCGCCAAACAACGAGACTCGATGTGCACTGGATTTCAGGGACGGCGAGGATGTGGCTGCCGGCTTCACGGGACAGTATTCGACGCACCTCTTTACTGAGAAAGCCACTGATATCATTACCAAGCATGACCCAGCCAAGGTACGAGAGCAATTAACATGCAAGCAATTACACATGGAATACATGGAAGGCATAGAAAGACATTTTTAGGGCACAATCATTTCATCTTTTCTGGATATCTTCTGCTGTCTTTGATTTACAGTATGACAATATCAGACTTCAGGTTTCTGATGCGTCTAAGTCACTGGCAACTGCGAGGCCTGTTATCTGTCACTGGATCTTCTGTTGTTTTTTATGTTTAGGTATTTTTTTCTGTTTATTTTGCTGTTTTTCCCACTGCCACTGGGTTCCTTGTGGACAGTTTGTCTTCTGAAGCAGGCGGCTATGCTGTTGGCAGTCCATTAAGGCCATTCGAAAAGCCCCAGCTTGGAATGTTAATTTACTGTTAGTTTTATAGTAAACATTCATCCCATAGGTTTTGCCGTTGGTCTTTTGAGTGACTGATTAGCATCCTTGGCTTCACTGTTCCCTTTCTGGTCCTAAGTGCTCTCCTGTCTCCCCAGCCCCTCTTCCTGTACGTGGCCTTTCAGGCTGTCCACTCCCCACTGGAGGTCCCAGAGCCCTATCTGGCACCTTACTCCTTCATCCAGGACCATAACCGCAGGTACTACGCAGCCATGGTGTCGGTCATGGATGAGGCCATGGGCAACATCAGCCGAGCCCTGCAGCAGAGTGGGCTGTGGGACAGCACTGTGCTGGTCTTCTCCACAGGTATGGTGCTCCCCGTACAGCCAGAGCACAGAGCACAGGTGTTGCTCTAGAACATCATGTAAAATTCTATTGTCATCATTGATCAGTATTGTGTTCAATATCCATCCATCCATCCATCCATCCATCCCTTCGCTCACACATGCACATCTATGGGCAATTTGGTAACCCTAATTAACCTCAGCATGTTTTTGGACTGTGGGGGGAAACCAGAGTACCTAGAGGAAACCCCACAACAACAGAGAGAACATGCAAACTCCACACACAGGTAACCCAGGTCCCAGAGGTGTGACGCGACAGTGCTAAGCACTGCCCCACAGTGCCCCCCTGTGTTCAATACTTTACATTGCTGAATATAATAGAGAATTGGGTAATACGGGATCTAAGGGGTGGCCATGGCCCCCAGTAGTTGATATGTGATCCCCTCGGTTGCCACCCCTCATCAAAAAATACAAACAAAGTATAAGGAGTAGACCTGTGTGTTTCCAGCTTGATCGCAGGATGATAAACATATAATGCTTGCGATTACCAAAATGCACCTAGAGATCCCCCCCCACCCCCCCCACCCACATATTGACCTGCTGCCACCCCATTGCAATGATTGGGTCTCGTCTGGCCATCCCATTGTACAAAGTCTGGCTGCCCTCTTGTATTTAGCTTACAGTAACATTGTAGAAATGTAAAAATAAGGAAGTATGACTTGTGTTTTTTGTGGTTTCCTTAGAAATATCTTTTAAAAAAAACAAATACAACCACACTGAAAACTAACTAAAAGTAAACTGGATTTCTAATGAAAATTGAAAGTAATATGAAAATAAGAACTGAAGAACTTCAAAAATCAAAAGTAATAACTCCGGTTCCAACTTGTTTGTTTTATTTAAATCCTGGGGGGTTTTCTGCAGTTATTACAATGCAGAAAGTAACGCTGTGCATCCATAACTAAATGATCCACTAGGGGTCGCCCGTTTACTGTTACTGGGAATTTCTTTGCACAGAAATTGCTAACTTGCGTTCATCTTCCCCAGTGACCAACAGGTACACACAGCATACTGTTTAGTACTGGATGTTCAAAGCAATATGTATCACCATTTTAAAGGAATTATCAGTATTGGTATCGGTAAAATTATCAGTAAATATTGGTTCATTTTGAACCATTGGCCAAGGTTTTGCCTGCAGAAGTGTTTTCCACTGAATGTAGCAACTCTTGTTATTCTGTGACCTTTTATAAATAAGAAATCCAGCAACTTTAACTGCCAGAACTCTTGATGTCATTGTTTTTCCAGTCACTTGAAAAGTACGTGCAGGCATGTGTCTGTATCCGTGTATGTGCTGAGTTGCAGCTGCTCAAGAAAATTTGCAAAATTGCAGATTTTCAATATCCAAATGCTCTGTGTTAATTTTATGCTGCTGATCTGGTCGTATGTCTGGGATGGAAGTTTATTCTTCCTGACTTCAGTTGATATCCCAGACCACGGTCCAGAATGGTGCATTTGCCTCCAAAACCTATTTCCGTCATTTAGGAATGATTCCTTTTTGCTGAACCATTTCCCGCACAGAAACAGGAACAAAGTCTCCAAGCTTCCAGAATCATGTTCCCAGCTCCCGATTTTTAACAGTTGCTTACTGAACACAATGAAGTGAACCAGCAAGGTGTCAAATGATGAAGGCTGCTGGCACAGAGTCCAACCTGGATTGAAAATAACTTAGAAGGCAGTAAAACGCTTTGCAGAGCCTCGCTTTCCCCAAAGCTACCGGCCAGCGGCTCTGCTGTTATTCCCCAGACTGCTGGCATCGCTCCCCTGCCGTTAACTGGTATTGACGTTGGGCAGACCTGGAAAATGCTGCTGGGGTGTTCAAAGCAGCCCCCGCTCGCTCGTCGTTTCACCTCACTGAGATCACTTCCTCATTTCCCTCAAAACTTCCCAGATGTGTCGAAAGCAGAGCGGGGGCATGGGAGGGGGCGGCGATTAAAGTCCAGTAAATGAAGAGCAGACTTATGTCATGAATGGGAAGTGGGAGCAGGTATGGGAAGGTGATAGAAGATAGTGTTTTAAAATCTCAGAATAAACATGTCCACTCCATTTACCTGGCATGGCAAGGGAGAAATCAAATGATGATGGATGGATTGTTGTCTGTCTTTCCTAAGTGCTTCACCTTATCTTTGCAGGCTGACTCACTTTAGCAATCGCCAATGTGTGTTATGTACAGGAGGTTAATGTTCATTAGCCTGTTTGGCTGCACACCTGTGACATCCTCCTCTTAACCATCGTCTGTGGTTACTGACCGATTTCTATGCATTTTGAAATAAGTAGGCTAGGCTACAATTTATATATACTGTATATAAAAATCATGCATGTGTACGTAGTTGATTGCCAAAGATATTTGGAAATTGACTGATATATAACTTTTCCCAGGAATACAAAGAATAAACATCTGCCTACTCTTCCGGGATGTGCATTAGAAATTACTTTAAACCTTGCATGATTCATTTTTTGGAATTAAATAATATTTTGTAGACAAGGTTACACTAGGTGACCACTAGGGGTCACTGAATAATTGCTGATAATGCAAAAAGATGCATATGTCAAGTATGCTTGTATTGCCTATTTTAACTTATGAAAATGACTCGTGTTCTATTCAGGCCTTTGTAATATGTTAAATTCACATGACAGCGGCAGAAGTGAGAGAGAACTGTGGCTTGTTCTTGTCCTGATAGATAATGGGGGGCAGACGCTGTTTGGGGGCAACAACTGGCCACTGCGAGGCAGGAAGTGGTCTCTGTGGGAAGGAGGCGTGCGCGGCGTCGGCTTCATCACCAGCCCTCTCCTGGCGCTCCCCAGGACCATCAGCAAAGAGCTTATCCACATCTCTGACTGGTTGCCCACCCTGGTGGGCCTGGCAGGGGGGACCACCAACGGAACACAGCCCCTGGACGGCTTTGACGTGTGGGGCACAGTCAGGTGAGAACAGAGCCCTAATCTGCGTGGTGCCTCTGCTTCAGCTTCATTACTGTGTGTTTATTTCTCCATTTTAAGGAAACCGAAAACTGTAACTGTATAATGTAACTGTGGGCCTTTCAGAATTATAGTATAGGACGTTCTATAGTGCTGTACAGATTCTAGACTCATAATTAAATCTATATATTTGTGGTACAGTGTGCTACCATGCCAAACTTCTGTGTATTAACAAAATAAAAAAGACCAATTACAGTTTAAATATTAAGTCATTGTTATAAAAGCCAAATCATAGTAGTCGAAGTATCTTTCAATATCTGCTTCAGATATATGATGCGTGGAGTTACACAATGAGCTGAAATATCATTCTTCTTGGTCGTAGTGCAAATGAGAAGTAATTTATAGAATATAAATACTAAGACGTACAAACATATCGACATGACATATTAAGATCTGGATATTAAGAAAGACAGAGCGATTCAGTGAAACACCTGCTGGCTGGAGAAAGATGGTGGAAATTGGTACAGAAGTTTGCCATTGGTGGGGAAAGATGGTGCAAATTGGTACAGAAGTTTGCCATTGGTGGGGAAAGATGGTGCAAATTGGTACAGAAGTTTGCCATTGGTGGGGAAAGATTGTGCAGATTTGTACAGAAGTTTGCCACTGGTGGGGAAAGACGGTGCAAATTGGTACAGAAGTTGTGGTGCAAGTAGACTATCACAAATATATTTACTGTATACAAAGTTCTATACTATAGTTCTTAGTGGTCAACAGCTACATTTTATTCATGTAGCAGATGTAATTATCCAAAGCAGCACACATGTTTGAAAGAGAGCAGGGTCAGTGCCTGAAGCAATGGGGGGTTAAAATCACTTTGCCAGATCTGGGATTTGAAACGGCAACCTTCCGATCAGAGGTAGGCCGTCTAAGCTCAGCCTCAGATGTAAAATTTTGAAATTATAACTGATTACCTTGTAAAAGTGTTTCAGGCCTTTGAGCTCCTATGAGACCAGTCCTAGAGGTGAAAATAGACCTCACTGTAAGCATGTCACGTTCCCAGAATATAATGGAACCACTTATTGCTCCATTCTGCCCCACCCCCACAGAAAAAGGCTACCTTTTATGTTGACACAGTGGGGCAGCGTGTATCTGTACAGCCTCTCAAACCCATTTCATGTCCTGGCCCTCATTGTCAGAGGATCGGTGTTATCATAAGATCACACGTCCTATCTGTAAAGTCAGTATCCTCCACCTCCTCATCTGCTCATCTTCATGAATCTCCCAAACAAAGGTTCTGGAGGCATCATTCCCCAGACCAGGCACCTTCCCATGGTCTTGAGTTTTTCTTCCTTTTCCAAGGGGGGGATGTTTATCTCTGCTCTGCTCTTTCTCTGGACTGGCACCGAAAGCCAGGCACAGGCAAGCTGTCAGATATGCAAGCATTTTCCCTCGTCTGGTATCTCCTACGGTGTCGGTCCTCTCTGTAGAGTTTCGTCGGTCAATGGCCCCTTTGTTGCTGGAGTGATGAGGCGTCAAAGAGAAGGAAATTCCCCAAGTCTTTCTCACCAGTGTTTTTTTTTCTTTGCAGTGATACATGGCCACAGCAGATAGAGGGTTTCTTTCAGCTGCTTTGTTTTTGTAACATTTCTATGACTCATTCTGGAAGCGGTGGTCTAGTCCTCCTCGAAACTGTACCTTTGATCTTCCCTGTGACCACGTTGGTTTTGTTTGGTGTTTGTCATTGAAATTGTTACCTGTAAATACTGTTAAATCCATAAAAGGGCAATTTCCCCATTAGTTGTTCATTTTTAATGTTTGCTTCATTCACAGTAGCTGATGAATATAGGTCATTTTTCAGTTTATACAGTAGTACAGTCAGCATAAGGACTTATTGTCATTGTTATCCTGTTACCTTACAGTGACCTATAACAGGCAATATGTTTAATCGGATACCTGTTTAAATACTTTTTATGATATGACGACTGTCGCTTCTGACATATCAGATATCATCCCAGTGGTGCCTTGTTGCCATCAGCTTTCAGGTCTTTGTTCTGGGAAGTCCTCCAGGTTCCCCTCTCAGCTCCTAGCAGACTGTGTTCCCTGCCTTTTATTGTATGTATTTGCCTAAATGTGTGGGAATTATAATTAGGATCTTCATGTCTACCAAAAACTGAAGCTTTGGCTATGAGGGCAAAGCTTGAGTTTAAATAATGAAATAAGCCATCCATGCTGTTTAAGACAGAAGTTTGTTTCTTTAGATGGTGCAAAGGTTGATTTGACCTGCACTCTGACTTGACTTTTGTCTACCCCAGACTTTAGCGAATTTTTCCTGAGATGTTGCTTATGCTCTGTTGGTGCTTTTTCCAAAATATGAGGTGTTTGTCTTTTGTGCAGTTCTGACTGAGAAGATTTAATGATACTGTTATATGGTATGGCACGAACACTTGCTTTAAAGCTTGCTTATCAATGTCAAGGCGTGTAACGAGCGTCTATGATCGCTGCTATAATGGCAATGGTTATTAACCTATTGCATATAAAATGTCACTGCTTTCTCGTTTTACAGTTTTACTGCAGATTATCGCTGCTGTAGGAAGCCATCATGATGTTATAAGATGGTTGTGGGGAAAGCCTGGGTGACTTGACAGACGGAGCCATGAGATATGTGAATTTCAGAGTGGACCACAGTTTTTTATCGTAGAGACACACTGGGTTGGTTGTGGGTAACACAGTGGTGCCCAACTCCAGTCCTGGAGGGCCAGAGCCCTGCACATTTTTGGGTTTCCCCTCATTTAACACACCTGATTCAACTCCTTGTGCTAATTACCATACAGCTGTTGAGCTCAATCATTTGTGGTGGAACAGGGAAAGAACTAAGCTACACTGGGCTCCGGCCCCCCAGGACTGGAGTTGGGCACCCCTGGGGTAACAGGACAATGGAAGACCTTTGTGGTAATTAACAATCAGTAGGGGAAAAAGGACACAACAAAAAATAAACAAAATTGGTCTATGTAATTGTCAAAAAAGTAAAAGGTATGAATATACAGTACCAGCCAAAAATTGGGACACCCCAAACCGCCTACAAAGGAGAGTGTTAGTGTCGCATCACATGACCAGGCCACCTGACCTAAACACAGTAGAAATGCTTTTGGAGGAGTTTGACTAGAGAGTAAAGGAAAAGCAGCCAGTGAGTACTCAGTATATATGTGGGACCTTCTTCAGGACAGCTGGAAAAGAAAGTAGGACCAGCCAGTTCCTGGAGCAATTGGGGTTAAGGGTCTTGCTCAAGGGCCTAGTGGTGGGATCAGTCTGCCAACCCAAGGATTTGAACTGGCAACCTTCTGAGTCCCAACCCACAGAGCTGCCACACCCTCTCAACAAATGACTATTTTAAATACTTTTTTTGGTCAGTTAATAATTCCATATGTTATTTAGTGTTGATGCCTTTACAGTTATTTTAAAATGTAGAGAATAGTTTTAAATAAGCCTTTCTATGGGTAGATGTGCCCAGATCTTTGACTGGTGCTCTACGTGGAAAAGAGTGATACGATGAAGTGAAGCTGTCACTTCTCTCTGCCGTATGGACAGCAAGAACACCCCACTCACAATACTGTCATGATGTATTGTTGGCAATATTAAGAAGGAAGGGTCAAATTGCTAGCTACCACATCGCTACCAAAAATTGCAGGAGTGTGAATAAACATTTATAATGTGTGCTTGTCCTCTGTTTACTGTTGCCTCTGAAAGTGAGAGCCACAATAAAGTGGACATAACTTACACTGCTGTTACCTTAACAGGCAGAGTTATGTTATTCATAATCACCCACCAAAACACAGTACAATCACCTGTGCACACCCACAATCAGCATGAATCTACGAAGGCTCCCATCTGCTGGATGTCGTTAGTCAGCTTTGGCCATAAACACTGGCATGTCTTTGGATTTCCCCTGGGTGGTCGGGAATAAGTGGGAGAGGGAATTGTGTGGGGAAGTGATAAAATCCTGATAATTCTGTCATTTACAGCAAAGGGAACCCTTCACCTAGATTGGAGCTGCTGCACAACATTGACCAGATGTTCGTCGACACTGCGCCATGTGAGTTGGCTTTGTGCTATTACCTTATCCTATAACCTCCATACTGTTCTGATTCATTTATTGTCTTAACTGATCATGGGCCAGTTATCACTGCACGTTATTAAAATTGTGTGTAGCTAACATTCTGAATGGTGCATAACTGGTCCTGATTACACATCTTCCACACATTTTGGTAAATTTCCTTACAGAGGTTTACAAGTTACACACCTCACATGTGACCACAGATAAAAGCTGAACTTCTGCGTCTTACTTTCCAATCTTTAACCTCCAGTATTCATTCGCAATGATACCCGGATGTGTATTTAACCTGTTCTAAATCCAGCAATGAACAGCCAAGGCTTTTCAGATCTTACAGAATGTTCTGTGTACTAGGCTTGGGTGATGTGATGATGTTGCAATATCTTCTGAAATCCCAAAGGTATTATTTTTACTACTGTGATACAGGCGCTCTGCTATCTATTGAACTAATAAGGGGGCGGGTGCTTAATAGAGGAGACGTACTGTAGTGCACAGTGTTAGTGGGGACTGGAAGCTCACAAGTAAAAAACAAAATGGACTGCTAACTGCTGGAGCATGCGCAGCATATGTGAAACCTGGTGCCCATGTGGCTGCAGATCGAACAGCGACGGTGTCAATACATGAAGGGTAAGAGCTTTAACACTTCAACAAGGAGCTGTCTCACATTAATAAACCTGTTTAGGCTGACTTTGATTGTGGAGTTTACGGTAGCCTGCGTGATTACGTGATTTAGTTTTTCTTTTTTAAATACTGTCATATACTGTATGCTGGGATGAAATGTCTGAAACGTATAGCGGTACAAAAAAAAAATAGACCCTGGCTAAGCCTACTGTGTACGTGTTTAGAGTGTTACTAAACCACAACCTCAGGCTTTAATGTCTCTCAGTTGTTTGGCTTAGTTTAATATGATGTCACTGTCAGTCTTAATTCGAAACATATAGCCGGGTCTAGCTTCCCTGGTTCTTGTTTAAGCTGTGGTATAGGATAAGCAGCAGATCAGGAAAAAATACATTTGTGTGACTTGCAATGGCTTTTCCACAAAGGTAGAACTTCTTCTTGTTGATAGGCTGAAGAGTAATAGAATTTTATGCATCCTGCCTTTTTGCTGCCCTTCAGTGGACAATATTGCTCCTTTTTGTGTATGTATAGGTCCCCTCTGTGGCCTTGTCCTGTACTATTATGTATCTGATTGGTGTTTTTGGCAGAAGTTTTCAGTCCTACTTCTGGCCAAAGCTCAGTTCAGCAATTCATTGGCTGTGATTGAGCTGAAGTTTAGACAAATCACATCAAATTATATTAAGCTAAACGCATTAACTTTGTTTCATTAAAAAAATCTTTTTGACAAAGAATGTATGTAATTTTAAAAGAGCTATTACTACATTTTTACCAGTTTTTAGGTCTTTTTTTTTTAATTCATCCCATTTTTATCATTTGTCAAATGCTGAGCAGGTTTGGACCTGGTCAGTACTTGGATGGGAGAACAACTAGGAAAACTGGGTTTGGTGTGGCCAACAGGTTAGCCCATCCTGTGGTTCCCATGGCCCAGTGCCCCAGTACATGTGCTGTAAAAATGATGTCATCCTTTGGATGAGACGTAAAACCAAGGTCCTGACTCTCTAAGGTCTTAAAAGATCCCTGAACATCTTTCAAAAGAGTGAGTGTCCTGACTAATATTACCTGCTGTGATCCTTTCAAATCTGGCGTCCTAATCGTCACCTCTATCTAACTGGTGAATTCTCTCCTGCCCCTTCACCACCTTACCTACTGTGTGGTGAGCGTACTGGTACAAAATGGCTGCAGTAACATCATCCAGGTGGGGGCTACACAGTAGTGGTGGATGAAGCGGCTCCCCAGTGCTTCTGTAAAGTGCTTTGGGTGTCTTGAAAAGCTGAATATAAATATTACATTCATTCATTCATTCATTCATTCATGCATTCATGCATTCATTCAAATGATTGAACTGAATAAATGCATTATTTTCTTACTTCAGCAGATTGTCATCATTATGATTGGGTCATTGTTTCAGTGTTCTTTATAAAGGGCAAAGTAAAGATCTTTTCTCATTTCTTTTTAATTACAGGTACACTAGTCCTTGACTTTCATAAATGTGCTTCATGTGGATTGGAAATGCAAAAGTAACTCCTCAAATAATGAGTTTGCTTAGCCTTATTTGAACTTCATTCAGTCAATACCCCAGTCAAGATTTATTAAATAAGATCCGAGTTCGACTAGGACTGGGGCAAAGAATCCTTGATTTACTGTTGGGTTTTCTGCATTTGCTGTTGCGTCATGCACATTGGAAATCAACAGTACATCTTTATATCTGGGTTCAGTTAGTCAAGGATTAGATGCTCTGAGGACATTATTTGATAAGATTTATTTAATCAGCTCCAAAATACAATATCCTTGGGTTATGGAGATGTGACTGTTATTGCCAAGCCTGGTAAATTGTATTCGGGTGAATGACATCTTAAATTGGCAACAGGACCTATGGAAAAGGCAGCGGATTTCCGTAGTGAAAACCAGGGCGACTTTGTCAAAGCTTACATGAACAAGGGCATTTTGAATCCAGTGCAAATGTTAGTGGTTTGGATTTTCGTGAAGAATGTGTCATATTTGGATTAGACTGATGTCCACACACACACACGCACACACGCACACACGCACACACACAGACACAGTGTTGGAAGTCATACTCACACCCAGATGGAAAAGATTTCCTTTTTTTGCACTGTATCTGAACTCACTGTATGTATTTTACTTGTGTTGTTTTATCACCCTTTGTTACACTTTCACCATACATGTGTTATAAATCAAACAACAAGGAATCAAATTACATTAGCACTACATTTACAGGTTCTCTAGTCTTTCTACAGTTTCACGTAACAATCAAAAATATTTGTCTAGATTTGTTTCCCCACCAAGCCAGCTGGGGGTGTCTCCCCCTGCCTGTTTCTCCACTGTTGGAATGCCCTGTGTGAGGATGCAGTACAGACATGTAAAGGGTGCCCAGATGCACTGGGGCATGTTCAGATGCTGCTTTTACTGTGACATCTTCTACACCTAAGCTCTCTAATCTTTCTCTGGCTTTAATCTTTCAGTTTTAGACAGAAAAAGTGTTTATTTTATGAGGCATGTTGTTCTTGCTTGAACTGAGTTTACTGTACTAGATTTTATTGCAGCTTGTTATGCAACAGGGCAGGTTATAAGATTTTTTTTCCCCTTTATGATCAATTTTCTTATCTGACCCATAGATCCTGGTCCTAAGCCTGTATAAGACGCTTGAGCAAGCATAGTCTAGTGCAGTAACCTTTCATTTCAGGTCTTTAGGCCCAGTATGAGCTAAACAATGAGGAATGTGACATAAACTAGAACTGAGCAGTAAAATAAGCATGGAGAGTGCACCCATGTGACTCGAAGATGCAAGTGTGTTAGGTTCAGGGTTAATAGGGGGCTGCTGTGGCTGAGACCACAGCATGACAGCCGTCCATACAGTCTCCAACTGCTTGGAATCTTCCCCAGGCAGCATATGGCAGGGGAACTCCCAGGACAGGACATCCATCCTCCCCTGGGAATATACTGTACATCTATTATGGGCAAATGGGACTGCGATGTATTTGGGCTGTGAAAGGCATGTCCAGAGGAATGCCTGGTGGGATTTGTACGCCGGTACTGGAGGTGTGAGGCCACAGTGCTCCCCACTCAGCCCCTATGTCAGCCTAAAGAACCACTGTTGTTTCAGCAGGAATAGTGGTTAAAGTGGGGGAGACCAGATTTGTGAACTTGGGACAGAAAGACCTGAGAGCATGCAGATTGCTCATCTCATCCTAGCATCAGCTCTCCGGTTTGGGTCACGGTAACGAAACTATCTGAACACATCAAGTTTTGTCCGTTTCAGGATTGACAGGATGTGGACTGGATTAAGTGCGATAATTATGGTCACCTAATTCTCCTGTGGCCCATTTCCTCTCCTCACACAAGCCTTTGAGGAAACTTCCTTCCAATAATCATTCAGTCTGCCCCATATCAACCATCAGACCATTGCTTCCAATTAATGCACTGGAACCTTTTAGTGGGATACATGTAAACAAATTATTAAAAAATCTTCATTAGAGCGGATTATAATGTAACAGGGTTAGGAGCCAAAAACATGAGATTGCCTTGCCATACTCTCCAGTGAGCTGCTCTTGTGATAGATGAGAGATATAGTGGAAACTATCCTGCACTGTCTAAATAGTGATGCAGTGCTCGTGCCAGAATCACAATCGGCTTTATTAGCCATGTACAGCCCGCGTACAAGGAAGTTGTTTTGGTGCAATTTGGATGTAATTGGTCACATTAACTTAAAATAAGGTGATTTGCAAAAGTATCATTACGTAAAATATAGCAGAGTAATAACCAACAAGAAACAGGTTAACAGAATGGCAAAGGAATGAGAATGAGTATTATATACCTAGAAACTGCAGTATTTTTAAAGTTGTGCCACGTTGTTACAGTATATAGTGGATGACTAATGAGGATGCCAACTAGGATCTGGTCTCACAAAGAGAAATGTTTGAGCCACATAGTATGGCAGGAGTGATAAAAATGAAGAGTGTGAAGCTCCCAAAAAGTCTATTGCAAAGTTCCAGTTTCAGCTTTAATTGTGTAGCCATAACCCTGGAATGTGACCCACTTTCACCCCATTTACTGTGGCAGCCAGAAAGGTGCTGAAGGTCATCGAATGTGCAATTATTTTTTTTTTAGAAAGACTATGGCTTTTGTGTCTGTCTCCTTTGTTGAGTGCTCTCCTGTGCTGTGATCCTGCTGTTCACTGTTTTCAATTATTCAGTTATTAGTTCTTTGCAACATCACTGTTTCATGATCTTTAACTCTGTGCCCAGAATTCCAGTTATCTGGGTAAGCTCTATTTGTTCCCCAGACTCCTGTCTTACGATTGCTCCTTAGATGCACAACAGTATCACAAGGTCCTGTTTCATCCTGATCCAAAGATGTGTTCACAAGAGTTGCTTCTCCAGTTTGTGCCTCTGTTGTGGGACTCTCTCTCTCTCTCTGAGTTCTCTGACTAACATGATACACATGGTCAGTGACTCAACAAGGAACAGGCCTTTTATACCATTTGGGCAAAGAGTTTGGGGAAAACTGCATAAGGTTTGTTTTACAGGTTTCAGTGCTCAAGAGTGAAATACACTCTCTATCTCCACATGGGGAATTTTTCTGGAAGGGACTATGCTGACATGGATATAATAGCTATCAGAAAGCACATGTCTGACTTGCAGTCTCTACCCCCTGTGCTGTCTTCACTCTGTGACAGTAATGAAAGTTTTCTCTGACTTCATCTTATTTGCCTCAAACGTTCTCAGCAGAACAACCCAGAAATGTGAAGCAGTGCTGCCTCTTGAGTACCCAGTTCAATTAGCGACCTTCATCCATCTGGATTTCTTGAAATAAAAAGTCAAAACAAGCACCGGCATTACGCCAAGTGGCCTTACGGTTTTGAAACACAGGTGTTTATGTGCTTGAGAACAGAATGTTGGTCCAGAGCACGTCAGACTGAATAAACGCCCAGGCTTCTGGAAGAAAAGGACATTTTAATAATTACACAGCTAAAAAAACAGTTATGTGCTACCAGTCCTTCTACTGGTGTTCAAGATGTCCTGATTAAAATGTGAAGTCCTGGTTCCTAGTGTACTGTGTCCAATCCCAGTGCATACTACTGGTGCTAACAAGAGAAGATAAGCAAAAGCAGATGCAGCAAGTAATGACTAACAGACCAACTTAACAACTGAGACAATGCAATAGAGTGCATTGAATGTGCAGAAATCTCATAAGGGACAGTATATAACAGCAATGCAGTATTTGCCAATAGCAATACAGCTGCACTTTGACTGATGTACAAAAAGCCTTATACACATTTCTTGGGGAGCCCAGAAAAAGCTTCCAATGATATATTCTTTATTTATACCTAGAATAAATATATATTGTTATAAGTGTTAGCAGCCATTTTGAAATATATCACTATCTTACTTCGATCCATCCATCGATTTTCTGCAACTGGTTGTCATAGTCAAGGTCGTGGGGGGTCCGGAGATTATCTATTTTACTTTAAAAATATAAATGCAATATTTTTCTGCAAATGCTAAAACTATTAGCACAATCGTTAAACAATTTGGGGTTCTGTATTTACAGGTGTCCATATTCACTGTATGTAATTGTAATTTCTGTGTTTCTACTTGTCCAACACATTAACCTGAAAAATAAATTGATTAATTGTTCTTTAGCAGTAGATTGTATTCTTTTATATGGATAACCAGATATCTCCATTGTTCCCAGTTTCTTTATAGGCTTCTTGAATTGCCTCTGGATATTGTACAATGTGAAGAAATCCCTAAACCAATGAATGCCAACAAATACATGTGTTATATGTCATTTAAATCAGATATAAACTAGTTTGTTCCCTGTATAATTGTTCTGGATCTGACATTCTACAAGGAAAGGCAGAGTTGTCCCACTTCACATACAATAAGTCACCTTGGGTTTTTCTGTTCCCAGAACTGAAATGGTCCACCATGGCCCACATTGTCTTTGAATTTCTGACAGCAGGGACCAGAACTCTGTGATCGGATCACAGAATTGGCTGAGGGGCTGGTTGTCTGTTTCTGACATCTCTGGGCAAATATAAGTGCTGAGTGTCACCCATCCCCAAACCCCCCCCCCCACACGTATGAACTCATTGAATAGTGAGTTAGTTCCAGATGTGGATGATTAGGGGGACTTATTTGTCGTTCCTTAATATGAAGAACATTCCCTTCCAGTATGCTGGAAGGCAAGGTCTGTTCTTTAGGTGTCTACGGCTGTGTCCAACAACCTTTAGACAATAATGGCAAGTTTTTGTGAGCTTAGGGATTTAGTTACTGTGCATCTTCACATAAGCAGCCTGATTGAAGGAAACCTGTATTTACAGAAGCTATAAATAATAATTTCACTCATTGCTTTCATTGTCATTGAAAGGAGAAAAAAAAAGGTTTGTGTATTAACCTTCAAGGTGGGAAATGTGCTTTTTGCTTCCCATTGCTTTTAATTACCAAGAAATCAGCTTAATGAGGGGCAAGCTAATATTGAATCTAGTCCTTGCCAATTCTTGTTGAAAATGTTTTGTGGTTTCATTAATAATTAAAAAAAAAAAAAAAAAACTGCAAATAATATTCAGAGATGTTCCTGTTGTGCTGATAAGACAGAGGAAAAAAACTTTTTGAGGTTCTGAATTTGAGGTGTCCATAAATTTAACATAACTCTGGGGTATTTTGCTGAAAGAAACCCTAAACTAGACTTACGTTACAGGCAATCGAATTGATAGCGTGATGATTATGATTTCACACCTGTTTTTCTCAGAAGTTACCAGAAATTTGACATCCCCTTCCAGGTACATAAACAATTCTAAAATGCTTCTAGAATAGAGAATGTTATCTAAAATGCCAAGTATCTATCAGAATAGTTTTACACTTACAAATGAAACCTCCATTTTCTTAGACATAATGTATGTGTGATGACTAACACTCAACACAAGCCATTTGAATAATCTTGCTGACAATGTATTCCTTAACTTGATATAGTGCACTGCTAGAGCTGCAGTCATTTTAAAGACCTCTACGGGCCTTGGTAATATTACATGTTTGTCTGGTTTATTGTTTGATTACAGATTTGAGTGCAGAGTTTGAGGTCCAGGGCAGATCTCACCCCTTTTATTACAATTTATTAAACTCCGGATTCAAGGAAAAGTTTTTAAGATTTTACATTGTCCCGTATCTTCAAGCGTCATTCCTTGTAAGCTGACCTGGCAAAGCGAGCCTGTTGGTTTTTATATTCCAGCACTTTGAATGAATCCATTCTTTTACTTTTATTTTAATTCCATGAACTGGAGATCCCCCTTTAGAAAATATACAGGCCGGGCCACAAATAAGTGTACAGTTTTTATTTTTACAAAGCAAAGGCTCTATTTTACAAAGTAAAGTAATTTTTAAAAGTAGGTATACAGTCTTTATTTTACAGTACTGATTTGATCATGTTTAGTCTCTTAGTTGTCTGAAATGTCCTCCGTCAATGTTGATACGTTCCTGGAGCCTGTCCCTGACGCTGCCACGCACATTAGCTACTCTGACAACACCTTTCCACAGCATCAAGCGATAGGCGGCATTGACTGGCCACCGCGTTCACCTGACCTGACACCCATGTTAAAGGAGAAGGGTTTTGAGAGGAAGCTCCACACAGTGGGTGAATTGAAGGAGTTCATCTCGCAAGCATTTGTGGACACTGATGCTGACTGGGATTTGTGTGCTTAAGTGTGTCGCAGTGTCAGGGACAGGCTTCAGGAATGTCTCAGTGTTGACGGAGGACATGACTAAGAGACTAAACTTGACCCAAGCAATACTGTAAAATAAAGACTATAAACCTACTTTTGGCCTGCTCTGTATATTTCTCAGGCATTCCCCATCTGCCGTACCTTCTGTGTTTTCACTGCGTCTGTATGTCAGTTGGGCGCTTGAGGAGACGAGGCTCTGCTTACAGTTTATGTTCCTCACTGCTCTCCAGGTCCTGGAAGGGAATCCAGAATGATGGCCCCAGCCATCAATCACAGTCCATGGTCTGACTCAAAATTCAATGTCTCTGTTCATGCTGGCATCCGATACAAGAACTGGAAACTGCTTACTGGGGATCCAGGTAATCCCATTGGATGTTCATGTCACTTTTTGATGGGTGTTTGTTTTGTCCAGAGGTGGAACATCAGTACATTTAGGATTTTATTTAGCAAGGTATAATCTTGGTAATACTTTGATCAATACCAATGGAATTTTACTGGTGAATCACCAGTTCCAGTTTTGTCATTTTGTTTATTTTTTCTAAGGAAATTGGGAAATCTAAAATAAATAAATAAATAAATTCATAATTCATGCTACTTAAGACACCCACAGTTCTGTGACCAAAACCCATTTCAAAGTATGTTGTAGCTCTTGTTTGAACTTTGCTGGGGGATGTCACATAAAGATATAAGTGAGCACCTGGTGAAAGCCAGGCAGCCATAAAATAAATAATAATGATGATGATGATGATGATAATAATAATTAATAATAATAATAATAATAATAATAATAATACGTGTTAGCACCATTCTTCATCCATTACTCATTTATCTGATGCTTTTATCCAAAGCACCTTACAATAGAGAGAAGGATTACAATTTATGTTTTTGCTTCCTGGGATTGGAACCCACAACCTTTGTGCTTGGTTGAGCTACAGAATTAGAAGTTTCCAAGATTATTATGAACAATAGTGAAACAAATAGCTAAGACTGCATTATTCCTTGTGAAGAGTAAAAAAAATGTTTTAAATGTTATACCGACCCCCTTGTGTCCATTTAGGCTGTGACCACTGGTTTCCGCCCCCTCAGCTGTCCAACAGCTCAGAATCCAGTAGAATGGAAGCTTCCCTGAAGCCTGTACAGCTCTTCAACATTGAATCAGACCCTGAGGAGAGGCATGAGGTTTCTCAGCATCACCCGGAAGTGGTACATTTTCTCCTAGACAGACTCCAGTATTACGCCAAGGCTGCCAAGCCTATTAACTATCCTGACGACGACCCCAAGTGTGACCCGGGGCCCAGCGGAGCCTGGGGTCCTTGGGCCTAGTCTGAGTTTGACAGTCGGAGGGCTGATCACTCCCCTTTCGTTTTTAAAACAGCCATAAGAGGGAGAAATGGGGTGAAACTCCATGAATGCAGGCCACTGTTTTACATGATCGTGTTTAATACTGTCACATCTTTTTATGCTCTCCAGAAATTAAAAAATTAATATATTTTAATATATCTTGCTAGATTATACGTATGTGAGGGATTATTTTGTATAATAGAAACTTTTTAGAACGTGTAACGGCTTTATATGATGCTCATTTATCATGACATTTCTGTTATTCTAATAATTTAATGTTCGTGGATTTCAGCAGCATTACTATTAGTGATAAAATGTTTTTACACACAAAATCAATATTTGTGCATCCCCACAGTCTAATTCATATTTTTTGCTTTATTTTTTAATACCGACGTGCTTCACATAGCACATATTTTTCAGTTATATAAATTATACAAAAAGCCGATATTAATGATACTTACAGCAATGGAAATATCTACTGTAAAAGTGATATACTTTAGATTGGCATGAGTAGGTATTGTCAAATATTAAACACATATTCTGCAATAGTTTGTTAACCAGTTGGTTTTGATATCTCGAGAATGAATTTAAAAATCATGGTTTAAAATGCTTACTTGTTTTTGTGAGCTGGCACACTTCACCGTGACCATGGAGACAAAGATGACTGAAACAAAGGTGACTAAATAATCATTTGATATTTTTAAGCATCACAGTGAATTTAAAGAAAGAATAAATGTCTTAGAACTGTTATACTACCACTACAGAAACAAGGCTTAAAATTAAAACTGCAAAGTTCATACAAAATGCAATGGACCAAAAAACAAAGAAGCACACAGATATACATGATCATCCTGCGTATATTTGAATTAGGTTTCTTTGCTTAATAAAAAATACCTTTTTGAAATTGTATCCGTTTAAATGATTTGAAAATATTTTAACAGTTCTCATCCCACAGAATCACAGTTTTACAAACATCCATTTGCAAGACTGATACACATACATCTCTTAAAACTATCCCCTAATTTGGTGTTGCCCAAAAAAAAAAAACAAAGCAAAGCAAAAACATGAATTGTCTGGGGGTCCCAAAGGAAAAGGTTGGGAAACACTGCCCTAATTTTCCTTCATGCTTGTTTCAGCCATCTGTCACTTACATAAAAGTATGAAAAGATGGGTGGTAAGAATTGCTTGTGTGTGTGTGTGTGTGTCTGTGTGTGTGATTTTTACAGCAGTAATCTGAGCCAAAAGGGACAGAATGTGCTAAAGTTACAGTGAATGTATATTTGCCTTGTATTGCACTTCCCGTGGAGGACATTGTACCCATTATTGCCTTTTGTTATTGCCTTTTGTTAATTCTTATGACTCATTGCTGTGGATGATTATTACACTTTTCTTTTGAAAGAGAAATCCATTTTTTCAATAAAACCAGTATGTTGTGTCATATGTCTAAGGAACGTGAGATTTGCAGTTAGGATCTGAGAAAGCAATGAAACACCCTTAATACTATGGTTTCACCATGTCATTTATTATTTCCCCTGGTTTGCTCCTTCTTGTTTTATGTTAGATTTTCCTTGCCCTCCTTGTCATTATAAATCCTATGAGCATCATCATGCCTGTATTTGAAGCTGCTCCTCTGGGCCTGAAAGGTCATATGCCTATTTTTCAGTCACATGATCCTGCGATGTCCACCTCATGTCTGGTAAACACCACCCACAGTAGGTCCATGGCATTGATCTTCATTTTCAAGTCTTTCTTGGGTGGACATATTAATGATTTGGTGCCTGACCTTCCACTTTTCTCATTGTCACCAGTACACCCAGATCATTTCTGCTTTGGTTTCTGGGGAAATCGTACTTTTAAGAAACACTCCGTGTGCTTCAGAATGGCATCAGCTGCACTGTCTGCATCCTATGTGGTGCATCTTAGTCTGAAAATGAAGAAAACTTAATAATTGGGTCAAATATTAAGCTGCAAAACAAACAAAACACTGATTTTATATTCCAGCGTTCACGCTTCTTGGAAAAAAAAAATCAACATTGATACCTCGGAAGCTGCACGTACTTTACATCTGGAGGAACTCTGTAACTGTGATGTAATCTTGCCTATATAAAGAGAAGGAGTTTTGACTTGATGTAGGTTAATAGGTTGGGGAATACATATTGTTAACTGTCACGATGAGTTTTCAGTCAAAAGATTGCATGATTACCCTTTTAGAGGGAAAAACAATTTAGCCATGTGATTTTGATAGTTTTTGCCGATCATGCAATGTGGTAGGCCATCATAGATTTTTCTTCTTGTTAGTGCTGGTTGATGGTCTGAACCCTCATGATTCTTATAGGAAACAGCAGTCAAAATAAAAGTCTTCTCATACAGTACAGGTCTTTCTGGAAAATCTCTTCCCTTCTGTTGTGCCACGGAGCGGGCGACCAGGAAAGCAGGTGAGAGCAGGCAGATGAAGGGGAAAACAGGGTTTTAATTGGCACGAGAAAGTAGACAAAAACTAATACGCATAACAATACAATGACGGAACTGGGGACTACTGACTTAGACACGGACTAAATACAGGAGATAGGCTAAGGGTAACGAATCACAGGTGAGAACAATCAGGGAATCTCACGAGGTAACGAGGTGGGCGTGGCATACATTGGGAGCGGACGATCGGGGCATGACACCTTCACAGTAAACAAACAGTCCTAGAGCCGACTGAATCTCTTTATCTCATTTCTGTCACAGAATCACAAAGTCTTCGCTAATGCAGTGATTCAGATGTTAAAGCATTTTTTGGAAGACCTGTTTATAAAAAAAATGCATCTTGCATTGTTTGAAGTCTGGAAATGTCTACATAGCGATATGAATGGAATTGTGGGTTCAGGCACTAGACCCTTGGCTTTATGTTTACTATGTGAAGATTAACCACTTGCTTTGAGGTTAAGTAGTCATGGTGAAGGGCATGATCAGTTTCCATAGAGACCTAACTTCTTGTGCTACATAATACTGAATATGTTACAAATCTATTGGACAAATAAAACTGATTATATCCTTGGCTCACTAGCATTAACAAAACCTGCGTATTATTAAAAAGCAACACTTGTGTTTTTTGTTCAGTATTTATCCTGGACTGTATACGTTAATGTATAATTTTCTATCACTTTCAATTCGTCTATATTTAGGCAAATTTTGTTTTAACTCAAGTTTCATGCGGTAAACTAATTCTTTCTTTATCCCAGGCAAGCTGATCATTAAGGAGAACTGCTGAAACATTATAATCTCCTAACGAAAGAAAAGTTTTTTTTTATTATTGGTGTCTACACAGTAAACTGAGTAAAGCAACAAGCACAGAGGGGGAAATCAAAAACTTTGTTTCTGACTGACCCAGTACGGGATGTGTGTCAGTAGGGCTCGGTGGGTTGGTTCAGAGGTTCGGCTTTGAATGAAGACGACGTCATAATGCCTGTAGGTTGGCACTAGAGATAATTCGGGTAAGGAAGAAAGCGTCTCCGGTTACTTACTCAATAGCGAGGGGGCAAAGCGAGGAAAAGGGGGAAAAGCATTAAAGCGTCTGTCCAAAGCGGAAACATCCAGGCAGCGAATACTTTGTTAAAGCCTCGAGGAATTTAACCAGCTAATTGTGAGGGGAAAACGTCCGCATCCTGGATGTAACTCATTCATTTTGGAACATTTCTGCATCGGGGAAATTTGTAAGTGCCAAAATGCTTGTAATAACAGGATATTTAGTTCAAGTTTTCCTTAACCGGTTGCTTATTTGTCGGTGCTGAACCTTTTACTTTGGTGGTTTCGTTTAGAAACCACTTTAAAGCTACAGCTAGCTGCATTTCAGTGATTGGGACCATAGATCCCAAATCGGATAAAGCAGAGTCGTGGCAGCGGCGTAACAGCCAGATTTATCCGGAGTGTGAGATTTCATGGGTGTATAACTACGGCTGCTGACACTTCATTCTGGGTTTCTAGCTGCATTAACAGTTGAGAACAAACGATTATAATCATGTATGAAGAATTCTAGCGAAAAACCACAAACTAACCGTTTTTCGTGTCCCCTTTGAACTGAACTGTATGCAGGAAGCAAGCATAGCCAATACATGGGACTGCACCGCTTACTGCTTAATTAAGCCATATGTGCTACATTAGGCTACATTATCAATGATAAGTTAACGATAAACATTTTTTTGAATAAAGTTAACCACGGTTCCATATCACTTGATGAAGTTAAGAAATTCATAATTTGTAGGAGTTCAATCTTTTTATTTCGCGACTGCAATAGTTTAAGCATGGGTAGAATACGCTAGTAATCCAATTTATGAGTTTGGCGGTCGCATTAAAAATGCAACCGAAAGATTACAAAAGCGTCTGAAAATGTCGTTTAATGAGGACGAACCGTATTCCTCACCAAGTCCTTAGTTTTGCTAGACCTAAAACCGCGCATCTCTGAGTCTATGGAAATATCACTTTCAGGGAGAAAGAGGGGCTTCTGTTTTTAATTTAGCTACCAGAGACCCAAGACGTTTACTCATGTAAAAGCACTATACTTATTTAACACAAAGGCTGCCAGCACGAAATTGTGATCGGGATTCAAACTGAGAACGAGCTTTTTGTGCCTTTTCTTATTATTGAAGTTTGTGCGTTGATTTCGAATTGGACATTCAGTAGATATTTCACAGTGTTGTTATATTGTTTCTCGTACCTGTGCCTGTTTATATAGCCATTCCTTATAACAGACTTAACATACAGATGGCTTTCTTTCATATGCATATTAGCTCTGTCCTCCATTTCTCAGTCCGGGAATGGCCCTTAAGAAGCAGTGCTGCTTTGGAGAAGTTTCCCCCAATACACAAAGAATGCCTGCAGTATCAGCACTAGACTTCCTCTCATTATCTGTCTCATATTTTCACAATACATTGAGAGAGAGCTGCTTCCAAATCTTTTCACGAAAGCGCTTAACATCGGTCTGACAGTTTGGGAAGCATGTATACTAATCCGATTTTGCATAACTTGTTCTCTCTGTGGCATTGTGGTGCAACGTAGCCACAAATCGGCTTTTTTTTTACTACAGCGTTTGCTTGTGTGGCCTCACACATATAACAAAGCAACAGCGAGCCGGTTTAATACGACTAATACGAAACTCCTGGAATAAATAATGCCGATCGCGTCACGTCTTCTATGACGTCATTCCTTCCGGTCAATTTATGTAGCCTAATGGAAATAATCACAGCGGATGAATGAAGGCATTTGGAGAAATTGGCTTTGTGATATGGACAGTTGTGGTATCTCTTAAAAGTTGATATGCTTCAAAGATCTCATTCAGATGTGATTTTTATCTTTGCCAGTATGTGTTACCCATCTTTTTTGAGGCCATAACCTGCCCTAGTATGGGACAATGTCGTACCCCACAGAAACGTTTAATATATATATATTTTTTTTTTCTGTGGGCGGCACTACTTTCTGGCTCGTTTCCTCGTGATGTTGTAGGCCATGAATGAAGTGCTTGGCTCAGAGGACTGCACACATGGCCAGACTAAATGGGAAATGACGGAGTTATAGCAAAACAGTGTCCAGAAATGTAAATTGCTATTAATATCCCTTAGCATTTTTTCTGAAGACCAAATTTAGGTAGATCCACGCATACTTTCCATCTTTCCCATTTTCTATATGGTAAAACAGGTCACTTGTGGCTGTTAACTAAATAACGATGGCAGTGCTTGTTGGGCTGTGGTCATCCAGAGGTGGTGAGATTTCTGTGGAAGTGATCCTTTGTTGCTTATCTGCCCTGTGAAGAGTAGAAACCGAGTGTAGGCTGCTTATTATGGACACAGAGAACCATCATTTGTTCAGCTTTGGGTTGCTGGCACTGCAGAACGCAGTTTCCTCAGTAGCTTCTTTTAATGTTATTTTTACAGGATGGTGGACTTTCAAGGACTGGGAAAAAAGAAGCAATCAACCCGTATTGTAGGTACATTGTTCATCTCTATTGGGACTAGTTAGCATTTTTTGGACACATGAAGTATATGACTGTACTCCCCTGGTACAAATGAAATCACTGACCACATAGTAGACCCTCGACGTTAGAGGCATTTTGTTTTGTGCAACATGTGTGTGTTGTTTCCGTCACAGCTGTTACTAATGCTTCCTAGGGGGCAGTAATGCTTGTCTGTGATTGAACAAACCAAAGCCATGAGAGAATTGAGCGTGATCAATCATCTTTTCAAACAAACATTAATGAGAGAGCCTGATTGGACCAAGTGGTATTTAGCTTTGCAGAGCAAGGACTTGAGATGTAACTTGTTTGAAAAACTCTTGAGACAAATGTGGGTACAAGGTGATAGGACAAGGCCATCGTTTAATTAAGCTCTTTCCTGAGAAGTAAGATTAGACAAAACAATATCCACCACATGTACAGTTCTGCTTTTAGGTTTATAATATTCATCATTTATAATGTTACCTTCATATAATATTGATGTTCTATCACTTCTCACTTCATTTGTTTTTTTAAAAAAAGACGTTATAGTATGATTGTCACAAAACATGAGTCATGAGTCAGACATGATATAATCTATAATTCCATAGTGATAAATTAACTTGCTTACAAATTGTACTATGCTAATCTATCATGTATATTTATTTTAAAAAATGACTGACAGAGGTGGTTTTGTTGAATTTTTATGGTAAACTTCTTTCTGTATCTGCCACATCTTGAGAGGACACATTAAACGGTGCCTCATTAGTCTCAGGCCAGATCAGTGATTAAAGTAGCTGGAGGTTTTTTTTTTGTTGCTGTTTTTAATAAATGAGTATATCAGTCATTTCTAATGAGAGAGTTTTAGCTTTTACTTTTCACAATTACCGTAAAATTGTCTATAATGAAGTATAAATGCCCACAATATTTTTTTCATCACTGTGAACAGCTTCTCCCCATGTTCAGTCAGATTGCACTCTAACGACCACAGTGTAATTAGGTACGGAATGCTTTATTTTGATTGAACAAGGCTTGTGTTTGCGATTATGTCCATTTCTGGTTACAAATTTGCAAATCCTTTTTCTTAAACCTAACATTTTTGTGATTTTAGAGAAATCCCCTTTTCAGTTATTAATAAGAGTACATTTACTAAAAGGAACTGAAGATTAAGTATGTGAAGGTATCTGTGGAGGAGTGAATTGGACGACGGTGATGGCCATTTTCCCCTTGGATACTGTCGATGCTTGGCAAGACTCCAAATGAATCATAGCTCCATCATTGCATCGGCAATAACTATGCATGGAGATTGCTTGGAGCTGCGCCTAATCTATCTCTATAGTACCCCCCACCCCCACTCTCTCTGTGAGTGCTTTTGGCCCATTCTGACCCCATGGGGCTTTGCATTGTGGGTGGAAATAAATGACCCTGGACACACCAGCTGCCAGCATTTTTATTCCCCCAATCCAGGGCCAGCAGGTGTGTCTGTCTGCACCTAGTGCGATGCATATATTCCTGAAATCAAGACACTAGTAAGTTCAGCACACAGCTGGCAGTGTGGCTGTTACTGTCTGATGATGCATCAAGCCGCAGAACCCTGATCACTTTCAGGGTCAGCCTTGGTCACAAGCTACCGTCTGGAATGTATTGTTCTGCTAGGCCGTGCAGAATTTCTTCAATTTATAGTCCTGGCATTGTTAAAATGTACTTTAAGATTGAAACTGCAATGACTAAGAAATACAATACTGAGCAGAAGTGTGCAGAAGTGTGAAAACATGAAAGCATTCTCAGCAATTGTTTCAGAGATTCATTTTTGGATTTGGTGAAATACGGTCACGTGAAAACGTAAGTACCCTCAAAGTACATCACCTGTGTAGTATTATTTATCAGGGCATAAGAAAAAAATCTGGTCTTTACCAGCTCCTGAAAACTTTGGTAGAGCTGACACACAAACGATTTTACCATTTTGATATTTTTCCAACAAAAGTGGAATGAGCTGAACTTGGAACTGGAACATCTGGGGACTAATAGTGGCATCGTTCTGGGTTTCGAAGCCAGAAATTGTGGAGAAGAACGAATCATCAATTTGAAAAAACCCAGTCAACTGACTGCCATCTAACCAAAACCCATCGTACTTCATGGAGAGATGCATTTCAAAAACTTCCTTAAAAATGTGTACAATATACTTAATGTGTTGTGCTTTATGGATAGATGTTATGGATGAAATGTCCAAGAGTGCTTTAGATGCTTGATTTTTACTATCTAACCACTGGGTTAACCTTTTTTTGCACGGTGACTGTATGTCAGATCTATTAAAAGGTATTGATCATTCTCGGGCTACACTGGTAGATGTATGGGGTGTGATAAACTCGGCCAGGGAGGTCAATATACACAATAGCCCTCAGAGGCAGTTATCTTGCAGTGCCTTTCCACACACTTGGGAGGCTTTTTCCGGAAAGTCCAGCTGGAATACTTTTGCAGCTCCTAGGCAATATGGGCATTCAAATTAAAACTAAGGTAAGTACCAAGAGCTTCTGTCGGTTGGTGATTGCCAAGCCATCGTGTCTGCAGCGGGGGTTAAGTCAGAAGGCATCTGAGTGCCCTTTCTGGGAGGGGGGGTTGTTTTGTTTTTACAGTGAGGCCATCACTATGCACTATTTATGACATGGTCAACCCAGTGCTATGGCAACTGCTATTTAGTACGGGTAACCCATTGTCACAATCTCTTTGAGTCCCGGTCGTGATTAGTGGTTTTAATGGTTTTCCACGGGCTGATGAATTTAAAAAGGCAAAGTGTTTTGTCAGCCGTGTGTCTTAAGTCAGCAGGCATTATCATTCTCTTATGCTTCCATTCTTTGTTGAAGTGTTACTATGGGTCAAAAGAATGTATTTATAATTCTTTTTTTTTTGTTGTGTTTTAGCACTATTGTTCCTGTCATTAATGGGTGATCTGCAGATGATCCTCTGCATGTCACAGCAACCCTGTGACCTGATCTTATAATCACTTAAAATCGGACTAACTGGATACGAACTCCATTGACAGTGGGCAAAATGCAAAAAAAACTAAACTTTCAGTAGCTATTTTAATATTATGCAGTAGAACACAAACAGCGGCAGGATCTTATAAATCTGTAAACTGTAGTTAAATATATATCTTTTTTTTTTTTTATTTGTTTGTTTCTGAGATGTATACCTGGATTCTTACATTCACTTGTAGGTCTTCATGTTCGGAGATGCCTACTTCTTGATAGAAAAACTAGTTTAGCTGTAAAGAGCTTTGTGAGAAGGTATGAAACATATTTTAAGCACAGTTGAGCGCTGACCCTAATGTAATTTGTTTTACAGAAATACAAAGTAGTATCACATAGACAAACCAGTTAATTGCATTGTAGTAGAAACCTCAACATTGTGTTAAAAAGCAGGTGAGGATGATGCTTTCATCTGTATTGAACATTTCAGTTATCAGCTACTCTTTGTTCCTCGGCTCATTAAATGGCTCGGGATAAGGTCAGACATCTGTGGTCTGTCTCTGGCCGAATATTGGCACGTCCACGCCTGCCGCTTGCTTTCATCCAGGGTGACACGGTTTGTTTGTTTTGAAGATGTTTGCTTTAATGGAGCATTGTCTGCTTGGGGTCCTGACATTTCTTCATGATTTTTCTGAAAACTGACATTAACCTGAAATTAAAAAATGGTCCACGTCATGTGGGGGGAATCATTTTGAGGCATTTTGCGGTGGCTGCAGACGTCTGACGCACATGCATTATAAACCTCAGCGCTGTGGCACTGATGTGCCAAACAAACTGAATGCATCCCTCAAGACCCAATGCCAACTGTACAGCCAGATTAAAGCAGCTGGACCTTTGTTTACAGTGTAAGCTAAGGAATATGTGTGGGGGGGGTAAGGGGTGTTAGGGTTAGGTAAAGTTCAGCACTAGCCCTTATAGGTCGTAAGCAAAAAGAATGATACCACCAGCGGCCAATTACACCGCAAAGGGATATTCAGGCCCAGGGAGTACCGCGCCCCGGCCCAGGGAGTACCGCGCCGAGGCCCAGGGAGTACCGCGCCCCGGCCCAGGGAGTACCGCGCCGAGGCCCAGGGAGTACCGCGCCCCGGCCCAGAAACGTACCATCCCCCAGTACTACAGCTTATATCTAACTCAAAGGGAGGCAGCATATGCTCAGTATCTTTAAATGATACAGGATTGATGAAGATGCTTAGCATCTGGAGGTTCCCTATGGATAAACTAAACGCACATCAGCCCTTCCATCCCCCCCATCTTCCCTCCCAACTCCCAGTATCTTGGTCGCTATGGGTTTAATTGTGACTCACCAGATGTAAAAATATCTGCCAGATGTGGCAGCTTCCCACGTTTCTTCTGATTATTTGTTGTGCCTTCGACCTGCAACCCAAGCAGCTGATGTTTCCAAACCTATGGTAGATAAATATCATGTGTTGTTTTTGTTTAACAGGTATTCTTTTTTAAGAGCTCAGAAATGAAAATGCTTAGCTTTTTTCATTCACAAATACTTAGACCTCCAGACACACACTGTGATGCTATCTGCTGGCAGCTTAATTAGAATTGTACTCCTGAAGAACTTCAGTGGATACGTTCTACTCCAATTCCTATTTGGCCTGTACAGGCTGACACAGTAAAACAGGGATTTAGAGTCGGGCTAAGTTACACCTGCTTCAGTACAGCCGTTAAGCTCACCCAGTCACCAGTCAAGACGCAGGTGATCCAAATTTAAGATTCATTTGTAACTTACAAATGTGCAGAGCTTTTAGAAAGCAACCTCATTTCCAAGGTATTGAGTATCTACATTTGTAAAATTGAAATGGTGGTTAAATCTAATCTAAAAATTCAGCGTTGAGGAAAAGGAAATAGAACATAAGAAATTTACAAACGAGAGGAGGCCATTTGACCCATCAAGCTCATTTGGGGAGAACTTAACTAATAGCTCAGAGTTGTTAAAATCTTATCTAGCTCTGATT